TCCCTCCCTCTCAGCGACACAACATCAAACATAACGTGTACTTCGCAAGTTACTCTCCCCACCCCATCCCCGCACAATATCCAATCATCTCCTACTATAATTAATCCGGGTAGATTCTAATGCGACTTTAACCACCCGAAATCACATCACGTAGCGCCGCGAGAATTCAATAATCTCGCCATTTGGGTGCGATCATTCGATTCTACTCTAACTCGATCTGAACCCAGTTCCTCACCCACAAAGATTTCCAATCGACATCAAAACTCTTGACCGCATGATTTCGAAACCAAGATCACTTCCAATCTTCCCCCCATCAAAAAAGAAACCTATAATAATAAGGGATAAGTGCACTACAAGTCCTAAAACTTATCACAAAAGTGCGTTTGAGTCCTAAAACTTGCAAAAAGTTCATTTGAGTCCTAAAACTTGTCAAAATGGTTCATTTGAGTCCTAAAGTTAACACCGTTAGATTTACTAACGGAAAATGCTGACGTGTCATTTTTAATTATTTTTCTTGAGACACGTGGCGCCACGTCAGCAAAAATAAAAATAAAAATAAAAAAAGATGAAAAAAAACAAAAAAAGGAAAAAAAAAAACAAAGAACCGGCGGTGGCCAAGCCTGGCGGCCAGGAAGGACCGGCGGAGGTCGCCTGGGCCTTCCCGAAGCCCGGTGACCCTCGCTCAGATCTAGGGCGAGGGTCGCGCCCTCCCCCAAATCGAGGGTCGCCGGCCCTCGCCGGGGACTCGCCCGAGGCCGGCGAGGGTCACCCGGGCCTTCCCGAAGCCCGGCGACTCCGCTCCCCTGGGCGAGTCCGGCGAGGGCCGGCGACCTCGGGATCTGGGAGGGCGCGACCTCACCCCGCATCTAAGCGAGGGTCGCCGCCCTCGCCGAGGACGCCGGGGCCGCGAGGGTCGCCTGGGCCTTCCTAAAGCCCGGCGACCTCCGCCCGCCCCGGGCGAGTTCTCGGCGAGGGTCGGCGACCCTCGATCTAGGGGTAGGGCGCGACCCTCGCCCCAGATCTGAGCGAGGGTCGCCGGCCCTCGCCCGGGGGCGGGCGGAGGTCGCCGGGCTTTGGGAAGGCCCAGGCAACCCTCGCCGGCCCCGGGCGAGTTCTCGGCGAGGGTCGGCGACCCTCGATCTAGGGGAGGGTGCGACCCTCGCCCCAGATCTGAGCGAGGGTCGCCGGGCTTCGGGAAGGCCCAGGCGACCTCCGCCGGTCCTTCCCGGTGGCTGTGGCGGCAGCCACCGGCAGTGGCCGCCGGGCTTGGCCACCGCCGGTTCTTTTTTTCTTTTTCCTTTTTTTGTTTTTTTTTTCAGCTTTTTCTATTTTTATTTTTATTTTTGCTGACGTGACTCCATGTGTCTCAAGAAAAATAATTAAAAATGACACGTCAGCATTTTCCGTTAGTAAATCTAACGGTGTTAACTTTAGGACTCAAATGAACCATTTTGACAAGTTTTAGGACTCAAATGAACTTTTTGTAAGTTTTAGGACTCAAATGCACTTTTGTGATAAGTTTTAGGACTTGTAGTGCACTTATCCCTAATAATAAATGATAACTTGACGTGGCATGCACTTTAAAGTTCGGATAGGTCCGATCAAAAACATTCCAATCGAAGCCGTCCTCCTCCTCGTGTTGTGCCCCCCATCGGACCGTCCGGATCGTGTCAAGTCGGGTCGGGTGAGTGGGGCCCACAGGATAAGATATGAAGATCTTGGAAAGCGTTGGATTTATGTGTGACACTGAAATTATAACATGTCGGGGAATCTTTTGCCTAGAAAAGAAACCCATCGTACCTCCGATTCTCTGTTTCCATGTCATATATATATATATATATATATATATATATATATATATATATATATATATATATATATATCGGTTTAAATAAACGATCAATGCCATTGGAAATTTCGAATTGTTAATCCACTACATATTTACTTCGATCTGATTTTCATTTGGTCAAAGATCATATCCAATACCATCATGATACATTCGCCCTGAACCGATCATAAATAAATCTCAAACCGATTCCCCCGCAACACACTTGTCACATTCATAAACAATCTCAAACTAGTACTCCGACCCCAATTTCCTCTCCGTCGAATTGCGCAAATGGCCATGCGTGTGAATTTCCCACGTCGGATTTGTCCTTCTCCACGTTAGATCGGTCTCACAGTCAGCTCCCACGTTAACAAGGTATTGGTTGGGATTCTAACAGAGGGTGGATTTGGATTAGCGGTACTGACTTGAGTTTTTTTTTTTCAAAGACGAAAATCGGTTTTCTAGAAAATGTGTCATGGGGTACTGATTTGGGATTTTCAATGGTATTAACCCTTAAATAAGTAAAATAATTAATTAGGTGTGTCCCGAAGAATTGACAATAGCACGCTTGGCATGGACGAAATTAAAAACAAAATGGAATTAGCTAGCTAGCGAGCAAATTGGATTAGAACCGTCGAGTATTACTATTATGGTAAATGAAAATTCAATTAAACTTATTGTAATTTTAGGATAATATGTAAAGTAATTTGTCACTATTTTGTTACCAAGAAATCAAATCTCAACTTCTTTCTTCCTTAGCCTTGAAGTTCTCACCGTGGAGATTCTCGAAATAATGACAATTAAGAGCAATAGATTTGCATGTCGCTTTGAAGCTAATCAATCAAACCGAAAGTGTGCAAAATTGAAGAACCACCGTCCGCTTTTCAAAGTAATTGATGATTGATTCGATTTGAGCGTTGAAAAGGTTCACTCATATGAAAAGACAGAAAAATTTACCCAATCCATCCTAAACTTGCCGTACATATACCGATTCAGTCCCGAATTTTTCAGATTTTATTAATTCAGTCCCGAACCTTTGCTCGAAATTCCAACGTTATTCTTCAGACCAATTTCCATCAGGTGGAGGTCCATTCATCGCCGGCCGCCATATGATTTCTCGTGAAAATTAGCTGGAAGGATTGCATTGAAATTTTGCGCAAAGGTCTGGGACTAGATTAGTAAAATCGAAAAGCTTGTGACCAAATTAACATCCGTACAATGGATTTAAGACCAATTTGATAATTTCTCTCGACCTTGTGAGGATTTAATTCATTTTCTTCCTAAATTCTTAATATGTACGTTAATCATGTGCTCTTGTCTGACGACAAGAGCATCATTTTCAGCCGACCATTGACTCCACATGAACATCAGTACATATAAAATATTAAAATATTAGGGTTTTATTCAACAATAAGCTCCGATTAGTGGGACTGCTATTGTCTTTTGAAATGAATGGACATAATTTCTTCATTACAGTTCCTCGGTCGAGTTTTGCGTTAACCAAGACTGAGACTCGGGTCAACCCTTTTTCACATAAAGTTTTAGGCCTTTTTTTCATGAATTTTCCCCCTAAATACCGCTAATCTCGTTGATAAACGGGCAAATGAAAAGTGCACCGGAAATTCTAAATCTTGTTTATAGAATTTAATCAGGTCCTGAATTTTTTTGATAGTTCCATCAAGTCCTCGACCTTTCTCAAAACGCGCAATCAAATCTTATGTACCTAAAAGATTACCTAAAATGAATCGAATTGGTGTTGGAATTCATGGGCTGGTCTCGAGCCCAGTATAAATGATTTATAGCTCAATTTAATCTTGTGTGTTCGAATTGAGAGAATCTTTTTGAGAAATTTCATTCCGAGATGCAACTAGGCTCACATACACCTATCTTCTAATATCTCAAAATATTTGAAATTGAGGTGCCACTAAGCCGCAATGGAATTTCGCTTGTAAATAAATCACTTACTCTACAAATAAGTATAAACGAGCAAGAGAAGTAAGTATAAACACTCATCTGTTTCTCTACACGGTTTGGTTTGTAAAAGTACCGGATTTTTCCATGAACTAGATACATAAATTAAAAACTTGGATCGGGTACGACGTAACATGTCATTTTCAATATTCCTTGCACCGATAAATCTCTGACTTGATTTTGCTCCGCTTCTTTTGTTCTCCCTTTTCCCGGTAAAATACCTTATTCCGATCCGTAACGTCGGGTGTTCAGGCCACTCGAGTACCCAACCGATCGCATTTCCGTTTCACGATATGATCGGTACCAGGGCATATCGAGGAACCCCATGCTCCCGAATATGAATATATCCTTCTGTCACATATTTCTTGGCAAATGTAGGCTTAGGACCATTGGAATATACATGACACACAAAGCAAAAGAAAAAGAAAATACAAAAATCCATAGGAATGAGCCAAACAAGGCAAGTGAAGGACCCGCCCAGATATGTGATGGGTCATGAGAGGGAAAGAAATGAGAAAGAAGCAACAAAGTCACACACACATGGGAGTGCTTGTTGAATAAGAAAGAAAGAAAGAAAGGAAGAAAGAAATACACAAATATAATAATAAAGAAAAGGTATGGCCATGGGAAGCAAATCTTACAAGGGAATCAAAGAGAAATTGCCCTCTCTTTGGACACTGCCCCCCACCTGCCCCCAGAGATATTCTAAGCTCCACACATGATCTCAATTTTTCTTCCAACCCCCTTTGACAAAAAAAAAAAAAAAAAACCAAAAAACAAAAGAAGAAGAAGGATTGAATAAAAAGGGAAAGCGGCACCAACTGCTGACATCACCTGTATCTCTTGGGAAGATTTGGTGTGGTCCCCCGCCCCCCCCCCTCCCACCTCCCCCCATAATCTCCTCTGGCCCTTGCTTGCTTTCCTCCAAATCCAATGAAGGAAAACAACTCCCAAACTCCCCCCACAATTTCACATTCTCCCAAAAAAAAAAAAAATTTCATTTTTTATTGTTCTTTTTTTCTCTTCCTTCCTTGTTCTTTTGTGGCCATAAATCTCATGTCTCCTGATCTTATATTGCAACCCCCTTATATTTCAATATATAAATGTTGGTCCACCCTCCACCTCACCTTTCTTTAAAAAAAAAAATAGCCGCCTTGAAATCAACTCCCTCAAATGCCCCCATTTCTTTTTGTTTTGTTTTGTTTGATTTTGCATTGCTTGTCCTGTAATCGAAAATCAAGTTGGAAGATTTGGGATGAAATCTGGCCAGATCTTGCTTTGTGGGGGGTGTGTGGATTTTTGGTGGGTCTTGTTTCTTTCAATACAAAGCCTCTTTCTCTCCTCCCCTTCCTCCTCCCATAATAAGTACACAAGAGAAACCAAACCACCGAACAACCACCAAAGGCAAAACAAGCCAACTTTCTTTTCTCTCTTGCACGTCCCCCTCCTGCTCCTCCTCCTCCTCCTGAACCTCATCTTGTTCAGATCTTACATTGGTCCCAATGGGCATGGCCGCAGCAGAGTCGCAGTTTCATGTTTTAGCTGTTGATGACAACATCATAGACAGGAAGCTGATTGAGAAGCTCCTCAAGACCTCCTCATATCAAGGTGAGTTTTGTTTTTCCAGCTTTTCATTTATTCGTTCTTCCCAAACCCAGATTCATTTCCACCTGGAAAGATGGGGAAATTCAGTGATGGTGATTGCTCCTTGAAGTTTCCCCCTGTTAGTTCTGGATATTTCGGTTCTTTGCTCTCAAATGTTCGTTTTCTCTCAATGGCAGTTACTACAGTTGATTCTGGTAGCAAAGCTCTAGAATTTCTGGGCTTGCATGAGGATGATCAAAGCAGCTCTGATTCGCCATCCATTTCGACGAACAAACATCACCAGGCATGTGTTCTTTGGAGATCCTCTGTTGCTCCTGAGTTTTGTCCTGCTTTCACCTTTTTCTTCTGTGGTTTGTGATTCTGACCTCGTTCTTGTTTCTTCTGTTTTTCTTTGTTTTTGCAGGAATTGGAAGTGAATCTCATCATAACAGACTACTGTATGCCTGGAATGACAGGCTATGACTTGCTAAAGAAAATCAAGGTACAAATTTTATTTCCCTCCACCCATCTGCATCACTTTCCTTTCCTGGAAAGTTTTGGTCTGCCAACAATTGGGGAAACCTTCAGATGGATTTTTTTATACGGATTCCACATTCCAAAATTGATATTGGCTGGGAAAAGTTGTGTACTTTTAGCTGCCACTTGCTTGGGAATATCAATGATTAATTTCCAGAGAGTATTTGTGCGATCCATTGCCGGTCCTGTAATTCTTTTGATGCTTATAAGTTTCAAGATCTGCACTTTCCTTTCTTTGGTTAACTCCGCCTGCACTTTTTGTGGCTGACTCCTATTTATACTCAGTGCCCCTGAGGACAATCTTGTAGAACTTTGATTTTAACTATGAAAGAAGAAAATATTGATAGGACTTTCTTGACTGTGCAGGAATCATCATCTTTGAGAAACATCCCAGTGGTCATCATGTCATCTGAAAATGTTCCCTCAAGGATCAGCAGGTAAAAAACAAAGAACCGGTTTCTCAATATTCTCAAGAAAGTATAGGGAATCTGATTAATTGGATGATATCTATGAGGCTAACTAATCTTCTTTATTTGATGTTTGTTGTTTAAATCCAGATGCTTAGAAGAAGGAGCAGAAGAATTTTTCTTGAAGCCAGTGAGGCCAGCAGATCTAAACAGGCTTAAGCCCCACATGATGAAAGCCGTATCTAAGGATCAGAAACAAGAGAAACATGAAGAAGAAGAAGAAGAAGAGATTCAATCACAAAAGCATCAACAACAGCAGCAACAACACCACCAACAACAATCATCACCAAGACCATCAGGCAATAGCAAGAGAAAGGCCATGGAAGAGAACCTTTCACCCGATAGAACAAGGCCGAGATACAGCGACATTGCTGCTGTGGTGTGATCAATCACACGCGCCCCCCACCCCCAAAATTTCTTTCTTTTTACCGGGGAAAGTCGTATACACAGAGGAAGAACTTTTGATGCTGGATCATTACATACACGGTTAAACAGAAGATGGAGAGACAGTTGTGGAGATAGGTTCCTGCCAATTTTTGCTTTTGACGATATGGAGGATGATCATCACCAATCAGAAAAAGAGGAAAACAAAAAGACAGAGAGCGTGAGAGAGAGAGAGAGCCAAGAGATGAGACATACTGTGCTCGAGAGAAATTTGACTGATAGATTGTAGAAAAGATTAGAATCACGAATCATAAAGCAAACATGTTGTCAATCAGATGGTTTCAAATCTCGGGTCTCTAATTTGATCTGCTCTATCAGTTACGGACTGGGCTTGGTCCATCTATTGCTTTGATAGAGAGTTCGAAAGAAAGGTGGGGGGTAGCATCATCCAACCTTCAAAGACATGTTTTTCTGCTGACACTGGTGGCAATATAATTTGCACATTCATTAGCATTTTCTGGTAATTTTTTTCAAACTAATTCCGTAAACGAAAAAAAAATTCCTGTTTGAGCTAAATCTATCTGTACACGTAAATTTATAGAGATTTCTTTCAACAAAAGTTCAATTTGCTCATTGAGAAGTACATCTTAAGTAGTTGATTCGAGGCCTCTTCATTTTTTGAGAGTAAAGACCATAGTGTACCTTTCTTAGGCCAGAGATAACATAGTGATAGCCCGCCTCAATAGTCCTTAGCCCATACTTTTATCTCTAGACAATGTGTGAAATGAGCCCAATATGGGCCATGACTTCCATGCATGTGCACTAATCATAGTTTGGCCCGTAATGGTTGGACCGATTGGCCAATGCTAATAATTGACGGTGCTGTGTAATTATAACAGTTCACCCTCAGAATTTAAGTTGTTAGATGAATGCGTGATTTGATATTTAAGTATTTTCGCACTCTCCTTCACGTATGGATTAGATTTTGGTCTAAGAATGAAGTGTGGAATCCTATGATTGGAGAGGCAAACAAGAGCTCCGTGAAGATCTTGAGTTTGGGGCTTGCTACTCTAATAATATGAAAAATGTGAGACACATCCAATTGTTTTTAAATTTTAAGTTCTTAGAGAAATAAATGAGTGAACCTTTAAAATTTTAACATGTGCAGCCCTAAAATCTCAAGAAAGATTAAGAAACTTAGGATGCGTTTAGTTCAGCATTTCCAAGGGGCTTTGGGAGAATGCAAATACCTTTAACTTAAAGCCTCTTGGGGAAATGCAAATTGTGTTTGGTAAAAAATCATTTGTGAAGCTATTTTGTCCAAGTAGTATTTGATAAATCTTATTTTGCAAAGGGTTTTGGGAATTTTTTTTTAAAAAAAAAAGCTTACCCTTCACCGGAGCCAGCGATGGGCTACGGCCGCCTGGTGGAGGTCTGAGGTTGCGCCACCCAGCGGCCATTGCCTGGGGTTGCCCGACCCCAAGCAGCTGTCACCGGGGACAGGCGACCTCGCTGACCTCTCGCCGGTGCTTGGCCATCCGATTTGGCCTCGGGTGGCTTTGATCAGTCGCCCTCAGCCCAAAGGAAGATGACCAGTCATGAGGGGCAAATTTGGAATATTGAGAAATTAGTGAGGGTTGTTTGGGAAGAAAAAAAATTGATTTTAGTATTAGGCAAATGCTAAAAGCTTAAAGCTAGTCCGGACCAGCCTTGGGTTTTCAGCATTCTCAATGTTGGCTTTCGATTGAAAGCTCATTGGAAATGCTCGCCAAATGCCTCAGCATTTCCCCAAGGGGACTTTCGAGGTCGACATACCCTTGGGAACACTGAACCAAACACACCCTTAGAATCTTATCATTGAGTTGTCAAGGTTGATCCGGTTCTAAGATGAGGTCCATTCCCAAGCTGGAACTAGGAACATTCCTAATAAGGGCTGGTTGCTCGGAGAACAACAAACATTTTGTGACTACTGTGTAAAAGTTATTGTAAAGAGCGTGAGGTGAGAAACAAAGAGAGGTGCGAAAGGCGGGGTTAAGAAAGACAAATAGAGACGTGAGATGAAAAAGAAAAAGAAAATAGATTTAAGGACATGTTTGTGTTGGTTGCGCTTTATATACAATATACCAAAATAGAGATTTAGCGTTCAAATTAGAAACCGAACTAGTTAAGGCCGATTCTAAGCTAAGGTACTTGCAAAGCTACTTGGTTCACATGTAAACCCTGCCTCGACCGGTGCTCACTCTTTGGAGATCTCATAATCCTTAAATATACCTAATTAGTAGAAGGGCCTGGCATAGGCTCGAGCCGGGCCTATTCTAGGTGGTGGTAGATATTTTATCTATCTAGGCCCACAAGCCTGAAAGTTCAAGCCTATTTTATCATCAAGGTCCGCCTAGTCAAATGACAGGGTGGGCTAGGCCCGCCCAAAAATGATCATTTATATCGGTTACAATAAGGAACAAATGAAAAAAAAATCCATTTATCATCATTAAAAATATTTAAATTTAATTACTGATAATAAAATATTTTCTACGAGCTGATTTTTTTCTAATCAATACAACTAATCGTTTCTAAAAAAAATGTCTGTTTAATCATTATTAGGATATTTGGGTCAGGTCTTATTTTCTCTGGATATGAATTTTAGATGTGGGTATTTATTAGGATCGGGCTGGGCTGGGCTTTTTTGACCTGGCACCAAATATAACCCTTCCCCCCTCTCTCTCTCCCCTTCGCTTCTTCTCTCTCTGGTGGCCGTGAACTTCTCTCTCCCCCCTTTCGCTCTCTCTGCTCCTCCTCGCCCTCGAGTTCGAGTCCCGTCTCTCCCCTTCACTCTCTTCTCTCTTTGCGCGAGAGCTCGAGTTCGAGTTCGTGGCAATGGCGGCCGTGAAGTTCGCGAACATGGCCATGGTGGCCTTCGTCCTCGCCCTCACAGCGCTCGCCGTGACCGTCCAGGTCAAGGCCCTGGCGCCGAGCCCCACCTCCCTAGCGAGCTCCGTCTCCCTGTCGATCCTCTCTACCGGAGCAACAGCCGTCGCGGCTCTCGTCTTCGGTTCCAAGTAGAGCCTTAACATTCTCCACCTACATCACACAAACAAAAGCACGTAAATTACACAAATTACAGAGGAGAGGAGGAGGAGGAGGAGGACAACGCGGGTCAACTCCATAATTAGGGTTTAGAACAGGGGTGGGGGAGTACGGATTCGTGAGGATCGACGTCCAAGGAGATGATCTGCTTATCGGTGGTCATTACGGTGATCCTCATCCTTGGGTCTTCTCGCTTCCTCTTGCTGCTGCTTCGTCTTCGTCTTCTTCGGATTGAGGGATGAATCTGGTTTGACTTTCGTGCTGCTGATTCCAACAATCTTTGCTTAGCTGTCTGGCCTTCCGCTTCTGGGTTTCGATCTCGGACTGATGGATTGGGTCGGGCATGAACGCCGACAGAATCGAAGGAGCTCGGAATTGGAAAAGATTGGTCCCTGTAAATAAAAAAAAACCTTAAACCCGACCCGACCATATTCTTGGAGTATATGCTGAACAGGGTCTTGTTTGGTGACATTCCCATTTCTCTATTTTTCTGTTGTTTTGTTAATCGGAATAAAAAATGAACAGAAATCCGTTTAGTAGAGTCAATTAATTGTTCTATTCCCCGGAATAAAAAAGTAAAGTGGCCAGGAAATAGATTTTGAACAGAAATAAGAAGTAAAAAAATCTACTTCTTTGTTTTCAGGAAAGATTTCTAAAACAAGGTCATTTTTTTTCTTTTCTTTTATTCCTTCCTTCTTCTTCCTTCTCTTGCCGATTGCCAGACCTCGAAGATGGCCAGCGAGCTCGGCCTCGCTGTGGTTGGGTGAGGTCGGCCTCGCCATGGTTGGGTGAAGCTGACCTCGAGGTGGCTGGGCGAGGCTTGCTCGAGGCCAGTGAGGTTAACCTCGCTGGTTGTTGTCTTTGACCAGTTGCTGGCCATTGCCAAGGCCCGTGCGACCGGCTATAGGAGGAAGAAGAAGGGAGGAAAATGAGAAAATTTCAAAAACTTAGAAAAAATTCCACGTCACAAATTTTTTTTAGAGTTGTGTCAAACACTTTTTAATTCTATTTCTATCCTGAGAATAGAAAGTCTGTGCAGATGGTGAATACGTTCTTCTGCTTAAAAACTCGTGTAGAGAATAAAAATAGAAAAAATTATTTCTGAAAATAAATTGTTTCCGAGAACAAAAATGTTATCAAACGCACCCCTAATGTCTAATATTTGGAGAAAATCAAAGGATTCCGAAACAAGTAAAACTACATCTCTCTATTGAACTTATTATCATACTCAAGTCAAGTACAAGAATAGGAAGTAGATCTCGACCAAACAAAAATCAGAAAAAAAATAGAAAGCAAAATAAAATCTAAAAATCCAAAAATAAAAATAAAAAAAGAGGAAGGAAACTCCCGCACTAGACATGGCCACGGTTCGGAACCGGCCGGTTCCAATTTGTGGCCATGTATGAACCGGCGGTTCCGAGCCGATTCCGGTTCCGGCCTAGTTCAGAACCGGCCGGTAAAAATTAAAAAAATAAATTATGAAATAAAAAAATAATGAATTATCAAATTATGAAATATTCAATATAAAATGTAATCAAAATGTACATTATAATCAAATTTGGGGAAAAAAAGGGTTTGTCCATTTATTTGCATTTTTTTTGAACCGGGCCCGGCGGTTCCGGGCCGGTTCCAAAATTGTTGGAACCGGAACCGGGCCCGTAGGCCACGGGCCGGTTCCAATTCCGAACCGCGGGCCCGGTCAACGGGCCGGTCCCGGGTTTGACCCGGGCCGGTTCCGGGCCGAAACCGGCCCGTGGCCATGTCTATCCCGACCCGCACTGTACAGGGACGTGTACGCCCGTTGAACGGGCCTTTTTCCACCATCCAAACTCGATGGTTCGGCACCGTCGTCGGCGTTACCCGCTTCTCCATTCGCGTCTTGGGCTTTCCGAACTCGTCCGGATCGAGCGATTTCGATCTTGCTTCCTTCTGGGTGATTCGGCGGGAGCAGAGCGGAGCAAACCACCGTACAAGGATGGCGACCCGGCTGCAGCAGCAGCTTCCGGGGGACGAGTCCGTGCTTCTCCGCCTCTCCCACTCCAACCTCAAGACCTTCTCTTCCGATGTCCGCCTCTCGCTTCAGGTACCTGGGGCCATCGGGTTCTCGCTCTTGGTCGGTGACGGCAGGGATTTTAGCTTCTGGGTTTGATTGGCAGTCGGGTTCCGGGTCGATCTTGATGTTTGAGGGAAGCTGACGAGTGTTGAATCTGATCAAGTTGTTGTTTTTTTTTTTTTGGTCCTTAATGGGCAGACGACGGTGGAGTCTGTGAAGGAGAAGCTCTGGAGGAAATGCGGGACGTCTGTGGATTCAATGTGCCTCGAGCTCTATGATGACAGTGGGTCCAAAGTCTCCAACTTGGACGATAACAACAGGCCGCTCGGTTTCTATTCTCCACTTGATGGGTCAGTTCCCATTTCTGTGCTTTGATGTGTGTTGGTTGTGCAATTTGGGATGCTTGAGATTTTCTGGAGTCCCTGTTTGATTGTGGCATTGTGGCATGCTAAATCGGCATATTTGTTCAGTAGAAGTGTTTGCAAAAAACCAAGAAAAGATAATACTCCGCTCCTCTGTTTACATGGCTTACCGTATCATCTTTTAGGTAAGGAATAAAGCTGCGTTGGTTGTTTGTCACTTGTGATTTTGTTGTCTGTATGAAAACCGATAGTGAATGTTCTCGTTTTCTCCTGATTTATCAACAATGAACTGGTGATATTTGGCGCGAAATTCTTTTGTACTTTGGACCTCTGTCTTGGTTGTTCATTAATTAATGTATAGCTTGGCGTTCCTTTTTTTTTTTTTTAAAGGTATCGGTTGCATATTATAGACCTTGATCCATCATCGGTCACCTCTGGTGGCTGGCTAGAAGATACTTCACTGGTGGAAAAATATCAAATTTCAGAAGAAGCTTATGATAAACGCGACGGTGAGTTCGTAGCGTGAAGTTTTCCCATCCGTTTGTTGAAGTTTATCTATCATATAGCTCATCTAGTCATTTTGCATTCACCTTACTCGTAACATACTTTTTAATCATGGACACCCAACTTTTTTTTTAAGCATTTTCTTATGTACGAAAGTTATCAAGAACAAGTTGGTGCAACTGCATAACAAGAGATTTGCTTGTTTTGGAATCATCTGAGCTCTTACTACTAAATAAAAATGGATATTCTATTGGCCTATACCATCCTGCCGGGTAAAATGGATGATAAGATTAAGAGTGCATATGATGAAGAAGCTGATCATGACTGATGTTGAAGTATTAATCACCATGGTGATTGTTTGGGGGACATATGTATCCCACCGTTCATACCTTATTGTGCACATGTGTTTTCTGATTTTACTGCTTCATCTTTTCCTTGAATGGTTATGAAGATGCATTTTTTCTTTTCCAGGAACTTTCAAAAAATTTAAGGAAAAAATTGCATCCCAAAATCCATCAGCTTTTGAACCGAAGGTAACCTTTCGAGTTTGACTTAGCTGAAAGGTACTACTAGTAGAGTCATTTGGCTCCAAAGTCGTGTTTCTGAAGAACATTCATTTTTCCCCTCTTCAAATGTACCTTGTATGCCAGTCCTGGAAGGTGTTTCTTCCTGTTTCCACGTCATGCTTGTCCAATCAATGATCCCTTGTCCTTATTTAACAATATTTCTGGATCAAGCATTTGAAGATTTCTACTACCATTATCTACAGATAACAGACAACCACATGGAAGATCTCTGCACGAATGTCAAGGTCAGTTAGTTTGGTAACTTTTTCCTTTGGTGATCAACTGTTAATTATATGGTGCTATTCATAAATCTCAGAAAAATATGGCTACAAGTAGGGGAAGCTTACTTGGTAGAAAGGAGGTGTGAGAGTGAATTAATATAAAATGAAAGAGCAGTGATCACTCTGAGTGCTCTGACAGTAGTATATTAAAAAATCATCCTAGCATCTTATTTTACATTGCTGAAGAGATCAATGAATCTGGGTTCCTTTCTGAAGGATTCCTTTATCATATGAAATATTGCACGCAATAGTTATCATCTGCTTTGGTTATGGTAGTTCCATATCCAAGAGAAACTAAAAGTAGAGAATGTTTTGGCAGTCTTAACTGTTAGACAACAGTTGCTATCCGCTTTTCTTTTTGTTAGCATGGTGGATGCCAAATTACCTTGATAGAATTGATTGCTGTAGAGGTCTTTTGGAGTATAAGATCTGTATTTTGAACTGTTATTTGAAAGTGAAGTGGAACACATACATTTGCTCTGAAGATTTCTTATTTCAGGCGCAGAGTCATTTCTTGACTTGTTCTATTTCTCTTCCTTGTATTGTTTCTTGCTGTCTTTCTGTCATATTTTGTACTGTTTCTGCACCTTGCTAACAGGATGCACGTAATATGTGGTCTGTCTTCTTTGATTGTTAAGGTAGGAGATAGATGTGAAGTTGAGCCAGGGGCTAAAAGAGGAGTAGTAAAATTTGTGGGTAAAGCAAAATCTCTAGCACCTGGTTTCTGGATTGGAGTTCAATATGATGAACCATTGGGAAAGCATGATGGCACGTATGTCCTTTTTAACAAGGTTTTCTGTTGGCATTTACTTGAGTTGTTATATATATTTTGTCACCGTCAATGACACTGTCAGTGTCAGTCTGTATAGCATGACTCCGGATTAAAACTTTAACGTTCATTGGTGGAGAGAGGAGTTATTATGGTAATGACATTGCTAACAAAGATAAAACTGTGCTTGTATTGATAGATAGACGAAAGGATCAACGAACACTAGTAAACAACATATCGTATTTTGAAGCTTGTTCTATTATGCCAAAATCTTTGTCCCAAATTGGAAAACATATGATATTCTTCTTTTTTTTGCTCTCTTTTTTCAACTGAACAAAGCCTTCATAAAGAGCAAGGCCTGGCTCAATTCACAGGCTGCACCTATGCCCTGCTTGCTTTCTTCTGAAAAATGATTGAATTCCACAAAAAGCTGAAAACACATGTTAAAAACAGGAGGATAAATAAAGGCTCAAGGGTATAATTTTACCTTTGAGGTGTGCCAACTCTATTTTGTTAGATCTCTGATGCTCTGGGTTCTCAGGAGCACAATGATTGATAGGCCGAAAGGCATTTAAATACTGTTACTGCAAAGATTCTAAAAACTAACATGCTATTTTCTGCTCATTCCATGCGTGCTTGTTGCCATCTGCTTGTACTAGCATGTGTAAATTCTTTTCCTCATGTCTGTCTTTGTGCATTTACATACTTACCGGACATTTTGATGTTGCAGGGTAAAAGAGATACGCTACTTCGAGTGTCCTCCACTTCATGGTGCAATGGTCAGACCAGACAAAGTAAAGGTGAGGAGACAACTATAGTTTAATAATGTTATTTTGTCTAATACTTTAAACGTACTAGTACTGCTATTACTAGATGTGCGAATTATGAGCCGATTGTTTACCTGGAAAAATTGCTAAAAGTGACGCATCATTTACTATGGATGTGTGTGCATCTCTCTTGAAACATAATTCTTCCAAATTTATTGTTCACACTTTGAGATATGTTTTGAGAATGCGAGATGCAACAACTTTCAAGTGTTGAATTTTTTTTTGTTTAGCGATTGATAGAAATGCTTGCGAAAATTCCAAAAGGCAGTGTCCTTATTAAATAGAGTTGGGCTCTGTTGCCTTTGCATGGTGAACTGCAATTGTCCGTAACTTGAATTTTCTCATTGTTATATGTTTCCAAGGTTGGGGACTACCCTGAACGAGATATTTTTGAGGAAGATGAGATATAAGCACCCAAATTGAGTGGGTGCATCTGTTTTCACATGGTACTTTGCAGTTTGCACTATGTAAGTTTTCTTTCAGTTTTGCTGGTGCTGGTTCCCAACTTATTTTCCTTGTGGACGTGCTCTGAAGTACACAAACATTTTGTTTATGATTTACTATCTTGTATCCATTACTTAAGCAATTGTGCTCTCATTTTGCAGCGTGTGGAGCACCTGCAAACAAGGGGTGAGCAGTAGAGGTCGACCTGTGTTGTACACTGGAAAGAAGTGGGAAAGTTGTCATTTATTACTGTCTAAGGCAAAATTCGAAAATAGGAGCTATTGGGCATTTTAATTTGCTGTATGAATCACAAGCCGACTATGTAAACTGTAGTTCCTAATGTGCTGCAAAGATGCCATATTTCTTGTAGCTTGAAATAGCTTCAAGATGCTTGTGTACCTCCTCCATATGGTTGAATTCCCTTGATCTATCCTATTTGGGGGCCTTAGATCACAATAAAAGTTTTAGCTATTCTGGAATGAATTTGCCGAAACTATGATTCTCTAGGGCCAGGGCTATGTTCTGGTATCGACTAGTTAAAGAAAATAAAGGAAACAGACGGATAGACGCTTTTGGGTTTGCGTCGAACTGTTTCCTTTCCCAGGCAAAAGCCTTTGTACACTCTGAGCAGGTAGTCTTAGGGTTCTCCATTAATGGTGAAAACGACTAAGTGCAGATTCGATTTGAGTATCGTGACTTTGGAAACGTGTACTTAATATTGTAGCTTCCGGACCTAATCACGCAGGTTCCACATTATGCACGGGATATAAGCTAAAAACTTATTAAATTGAATCGAGAGAAACATTTCTTCAAGCAGAGACTTCGTTCCATCTTGCTGTGGAGTCAGCTTATGAATCGCATTGAATGTTTTTCTAAGGTATCTTGGCTGACAAACATCAGGAGCTTCAAAATTTTTGCTTTACTTTGGCAGCAGACGAGTGATGTAGTCAACGAATTAGTTTGCAGCATCCATCAAATTCATAGCTAAGTAAATGAACGGCAACCGGGAAAAATCAAATAGAGAGGGGAATATGAGTGAGACGACAATGACATTGCCAGAGAGATGCAGATTGTGAGGACCTATAAAATCGAAGTGAGACCCCTGGTGTGATCTTGATGTGTCTTAAACCAAAAGCTGGCCTTGAACCTCGATGATCTTCACCACTGCTGAGTCTCCAATTTTCTGGAAGACGACGACGCGGTCATTAGATTTGAGCAATCCAACCAATCTACCATGTTCAATAGCTAGTCTCAGTCCAGGTTCTTCGCTGGAACTGCCTGAAGTGGCCTGCATCGATGTGCAATCAAGAAAACAATTGACTGCTGCAAGTGTTACTAATTATGTGCCAATGCACTAGAACCTAGACCACGCAAACTATTCAAGTAAGAAGAAAGATGTTCTTCGCACACATTGAAACATATGAAGGAAGAAGAAAGAAAAGCTCTTACAGCATCTGGACTACCAAAAATAGGGTAAACACCTCTCACTCCAAGCAACTGCCTAGCCTGTTTCATGGAAAGCTCATCAGGTAGGAGATTTTTCGATAACCGAACACAGGATCAAACCAACTAAGGTAGAGAGAACTTATCCATTACCTGTGCAGCGCCAGAGAAGGTCCATTTCAGTGAATTCGTGCGGAGACGGGGGGTCACGATCGCGACTACAGGCACAGGTGGCCTGTATTTTGCAATTAGCCTACAAATAATACCACACCACATTTAATCGTCTGATCATTTTCTATACTGGAAGTCTTGATCCAGGCGAAATATGAAAACTAAAACATAATCATTTGTTAAAACACCTTGCCGCTCTGCCGGAAGATGTGAAAACAACAATTATTGCTGCCTTGACCTTAACAGCAGAACGTACCTTCAGAAATACCAAATAGGATAATTAGAGCAGCTTTTATGGGTCCAAGTTGACATATAAAAATTATCTTTAGGCAGCTAATACATTAAGAAGTTTAGTACCGCTGATGAGGCAACAGATTCTGCATACGACATGGGTTCTTCAACATGTCTGATGATTCTCTTGAAATTGAGGGAATGGTTGTACACATTCTCAGCCTGCAATATCAACGAAGCCCCGTCAAGTAACATTCATCAGCATGAGAAAACATATTACCTACGGTATAATACCATCCTGGGGACTGCTACTGTTTTCAGATAAATATTCTTCCTATCATTTAGTCACTTACTTCAGCACAAATCTTGCCCACAATATTTATGGACTCCACCGGATAGAGACCCCGAAGGGTCTCTGCACCTAGCATTATTCCGTCGGCACCTGTTTAATTACACAAAGAAAATTACTAAAGTTTGCAGGCGAGTCTCTACATGTGAAAAAATGTAGTATCGTCGGAGTTCATTGCAACACAAACCATCAAGAACAGCATTAGCAACATCAGTTGCTTCTGCCCGCGTTGGACGCAGGTTTCCAGTCATGCTATCAACCACTCGAGTAATTACAACAGGTTTACCCACGATGTTGCATTTATTCACAGCATATTTCTGAAACAAGAAGACCTAGAAAACGAGGAGGAAACATTGATCAGCTACTATAATCGTATTATAGAAGTGAGGAGCATGCATATATCCGATATACAGTATTGGGAAATATATCTCTTATGAAGTCATATTAATGGCTATACTTATAACTTCATCATGGATCCTTTGATATTGATTTTTGCATCATAAAGAGATTCAGTGGCTCATGTATCAATTTCTAGAAAATCACGAGAAAGAATATATTTGGTGCTGATTAGATGTATCTACAAACAACCGCGCTGACCTTTTCTGGGGGTAAGTCGATTCCTAAGTTTCCCCGACCAAAGATTATGCCATCTGCTTCTTGCAGTATCTCGTCGAAATGTTTCAAGCCCTGGCATGATTGTAGACAAGTGACAGAGGTCAGAGGAAAGGGCTGATTGAAATGAAGCCATGGTTGATATAAGCACTATTCTTCAAACCCCCCACTAAAAGGAAATGTGAATGCTACAACTGAATTATAGATACCACAAGAATCATGAGTACGGGAAAAACTGAGATTGTAATTGTTTATCCTGTCAAAATGTCGGCTCACCTCCACAGTTTCAACTTTTGCATATATTTGAGTCTCACCGAGATTCTGTTTCTTAAGGAACTCCCTAAGCTGTAGAAAAGAAATAAAAATGAAGTTTACAACGGAGGGACTCCAATATGATACCCAACGAGAAAAAGATACAGCAAAGACATGTGATCCTAACAGACCTCCTTTACATCTTCCGCATGACAGGTGTACGAAAGAGAGATAAAATCAACATTGTTGCGTGAGCCCCAGTTTGATATAATCTGTCAAGCATGGAAAATAGCAGAAGCAAGATCACTTCAAGTGATTTTGGCAGATTTGCAGTAGAAAGAAACGTTTGTATTGGTAAATACGGCGACAAACAGTGAAGTCCATAAGTGACCCTGAGGTTATCAAAGTTTCACTCATCTACTGTGATGTGTGTGTTTTATTGTATCTTAAGCCTTGAAGGAAGAGGAACTGCACAACCCACTCATAAATCCAACAAAACTGAATTGAGACAGAAAGTTCCATGGTTGATGTACTCCAACCAGAGGACATAACTAAACAATTTATGGCAAAGAAACTATGATTATGGCGGCAAAATTAGCTTCTGTTCCGGTATAAAAATATTTGCAAATGGCCTATGCAATACAGCTTCTGATAGGAGCGACTAGGCATTCTTACAAACTGCTAGTTATTTTCCATAATTGAATGAGGCAAAAATAAAGCAGCATTGATTGATTGATAGACCACCTTGTTCCCATCTATTACTGTTCCTTATGTAAAAAGTATTAATAAGCTTTCTAATTGCCGAGAAAGAAGATCTCTCAGGAGGCAATCTGTACTTCAATAATGCCTAATATTTGGCTGACTAGTACATCATCCTAAGCACAAGAGAGAACTGAAAGTCCAGATCGCAAAGTTGGAAGTTGTAAAGATGAAAGCAGTACCTCCTTGTCATGTTCAGTTAATGTGGGCAAGTTGATCGGGACATTGGATACGTAGATAGTGAACATGGAGCCTGCGAGAGTGGCGCTGTTTTTCACAAGACAAACAACATCTTGACCTTTTGTCTCCAGGACCTGCGAAATTCGTCAACAGAACTAGTAAACGAGATTAAGCTACACAATCACTCTGCAATTTGGAGGGCTGACGAAGAAAGTCACGCAGTTACTAAGCTACCTCGAGCCAGACAGATGAAGTCTCATGCCCTGTGAAGAGATGCTGTCCAAGATAAACGGTGTCACCCTTCCGAACCATCTACATTGAAGAAGTAAATAGAAGATATAGTTAGGCTAGGCATATCCAGGAGAATTATTCTAGCATTTGCAGTTCTACACAGAGTCTAATCCTGTTTAGTGTTTGTCCTTTGTCAGTCTATTTCATGCTTATAATCCGATTAGTGAAAAAATGACAATCTTCATGTCGAGCATATTAACATAGCGCAGAAGAAAAATATACCTTAGCTAACTCTGCATAGTCAACTGGTAAGACTTCAGCACATAGGTCTTTAGAAAGGTCTGAAGTTACGGTTATGTGACTATCGGCCTTAAAATCAATTGGATTCCCAGTTTTGTTGCATACTTGCAGCTCTGGACCCGTCGTGTCCAGCATAATCTGACAATAAACCAATACTTGCATCAGACGAGGTACCTTTAAACACCTAAGATGTTTAATGAAATATGAGAGCTATGCCTTTATCTTTTGAAACAGGAAAACAAACATCAGAGATAACTCATAAGCTCTAACAAGGGTTGTTGAAACTTGAAAGTGGACATGCACTTGTAGCGTCATAATGCTCGGTGTGAGAGGAAACAAGGCAGATCACAATTGCAGTGAGCACTTGTTAGTGAACACTTAGAAGGATACATAGTAAAATGACGAAGTCTCTATTCAGCAGATAACTGTCGGAGAAACACAAATGCCAGAACAGTTTACTCACTGCACAAAGCTTCTTAGTGTTTTTCATAGCCATCCTCAAATTCTCAAGAGTTTCCTGATGGTAGTCTCCATCTAGCCAAGAAAAATCGAAACGCGCGACTAACCAAACGAAAAGCCGAAATTAGTATTTGTGGACAGATCAGGGACTATCTTCAGGTAAATCAAAATGGCTGAATGAGCAGTGGTCAGAATGTACCTGACATTCCTGCCTTGAGGCATGCCTCGATAACTTCAACGGAGCGTGAATTAGGTCCGAGAGTGCCGACTATTTTGGTGAGTGATTGTATATAGCTCTGCAAGGTGAGAAACCAACAAAATGAAAATTCCCGCAAGCATATATTTGGATGAGATCAACAATAATATCGGAACTTATTATTTGCATATTATGTATGTTCATGTCCTCAACAAATCTATTTCTCAAGACACCGAAGCACGTGATTCAGGAAGAATCAACCTGACTGTAAGCACACAATTCACAGAATTAAAGTAACATAAAGCACATTCACTACGGATAGGACTTCAAAAGGAGAGAGAGAGAGAGAGAGAGAGAGAGAGAGAGAGAGAGAGAGAGAGAGAGAGAGAGAGAGAGATTAAGAAGATGTACAGGTTTAGAAGGAGTTAGAACTGATGAGAGCTTGGCATTCTCTTCAACTATCATTTGGCCTCCCTGCATTTTTTCCTGTATGGGAGACTCTCTTTGCCTGTGGAAGTCTCGAATGTCAGAGAGAGAGAGAGAGAGAGAGAGAGAGAGAGAGAGAGATGTTAATGTGTAGTGAGTTTGTGACTTCACCCAGAAAACGAAAATGTGAGTTTGTGACAGGATTTCGGCGAGAGAGAGAGAGAGAGGGAGGGTGGAAGGTAGCAACTTGGCGCCTACGGGGTAGGTGGGAATTATATATGAGTTTTACCAAATATTCAATGCTCTGCCATTCCTTTCCACAGCCACTCCGTGAAAGATTTTGTAAGTAAGTGTCCAAATTTCTTGTGTCATGCGTAGCCAATATCCTGAATACTCTCCCCAGCATACATTTCTAAATATTAATGACAAATTTCTCCGTTTTCACTAATTTTCGTGTCATGTATCTCCTTTTTTTTTCCCCTCATCAAATTCTTTGTATTCACTTTCTTTGTTTACCAAAAAGTTGGCAGATTCTTTCTGGAATTATTAAAAAAAACCTATGGTAACATCGCAAAATCTTTAAAGTCGCAAATTTTTCCTTAAAAACCCGAAATTTAGGACATATATTTAAAGCATGGAATTGTTGTTAAAAAGGAGAATTCTTGTATCGTCAAGGAAGTTGGCCCAATGGTAAACAGGTCACGTGAGGACACTTTTTCCATAGCTCAAGCCAACAACTTCCTAACACCAACCGACCCCACGAAAGTTGAAGGTTTCCTAATTGACGGGAGATGGAACCTTAGCCGATATCTCCACGTACTCAAAAAACGACATCTCTTTGCCCTGCTTGTGCCCCTACATGACCATTGATTACAATGTGACATTGCAGTTGGTGGCTTCATTTGCTCATATCACGTTGAATCCCACTAAAAGACTTTGAAAATTCGCCATTTCACAGTACCAACAAAAGGAGCTAACAGAAGCACGTGTCCAAAGCTGTAGTGAAGACCAGGTTCACTTCAACAGTTTCAAGCTATCAGTGAATGAGAGAAGCTGTGGATAGAATAGGAGAGGCTACTGAACAGGAAAAGAACTGAACAAAAGTGACAATGTGACGATTGACTTTGCGGTCACGAGATAAGCAAAAAACAGATGGTGGCCAAAGGCCACAAGGACAAAGCCATCTGCTCAAGTGAAGCCATGTCTACTGTGATTGGCAAAACGAAAGAGAGAAAACTGCAAGAAAAAACAGAGGCTTCTTGATGAAAAAGTCTATTGCTTTTGATATCTGAAGTTCTTTTTTTTTTTTTCCATTTAGTGTTATCACCCCTTGAATTTTTAGAATACACGGAAGTTTCCATGTTGAGTCATTTCACGTCTTACAAAAAAAAAAATTGAGCACGTGTATTTATGTTTAAGCTAAAGCAAAAAAGAAACTTTTTTTCCGGTCAGAATTTATAGTATCATTCGAGATTCAAGAAAATGATAAAAAATCACATATTTACGAGTCTAAATTTGTATATATTACAAAAGTTTCGGGGGTTAAAGAAAAAGTAGTAGTGCGTTTATCGTAAAATTATAACAAGTTCCGGTGGAAGTAGCAAAAAACTACTCTTAGTCTTTTGATTTATTATTAACCCGAAAACAAGCTCAACTCTTCTAACTTAGGCATGTTCACATAAATCTCTACCTTCTTGCTCTTTTACTTTTAACTTAGTTTTTAAATCTTACCACATATGCACTTTGACTCTTTTTTTTTGCCCGAAACTTTCGCAAAATACAGATGTTGATTCGTAGATTTACATATAATTTTCTTATAGTATTGTGAAATTCGAAGAGCATTGTGAATTTAGGTGGGAAAAAAAATCTTTTATCATTATTTCTTAAGTATCACCCTCCAGATGGACCGTTTGTCTCTTTTTCTTTTTCTATTTTTGGCTTCGGCAATGATTTCTTTCTTCTGGTGACTCAGCTTAGCTAATAATTAATCTAATTTTAGTGAAGTCCATTTCGGCAGAGGCCCTCATTCATTCTAGCGGATGACAGGTGATGTGCTCACTGCTCACATCCACAAGTTCTTGAGTCAGAGAACTGCTCAAAGATCCTGCGTTGCTGCTGCTACTTCTTCTTACATGTTGCGAACTTGCTAGTTGCAGACAATGTTGAACAGAGAAAAAAATGGGAGCAGTGCGTGGAAACACGAAGAAACTGCCAATGTAGAAAGCTGTCTGCCCTGTCCAATGAACGTGGTGATGGAAAAAGACAAAAAGAGAGAGCATAAAACGGCCAACATTAGAAGTGCCAGCTTGATCACCAAGTGAAGAACATACATAGTTCCTAGGAGGATACTCGAGGAAATCATGACCCAGGGTCGCATTCGAAGCGAAATTCGATGGCCAATCAGAGAATATGTTACCTTCTCTGTAGACAAGAATGAAGCATACGTCGGTAAAAGTCCTTCAATAATAGGGGCCGTCGACAGTCCGGGAATGGCGGAACTGAACATAAAGAAAGCATTTTTATTATGACCTGCCCTGAGTAGAACCTTAATCGAAAATATGATTCGGATCAGTTATTTGATGTGTGAGCAGTTCTTTGGTAGTACAGAAGTGCCGGATTTGATCACCAAGTGAAGAACACACATAGTTCCTAGGAGGATACTTGAGGTTATCACGATCCAAAGTCACATTTGAAGCGAAATTCGATGGCCAATCATCGCACATGTTGCCTTCTCTGTAGACAAGGATGAAGCATACTTCGGTAAAAGTCCTCAATAGTAGGGTGCCATCGACGATCCGGGTTGATTCAGGTTCTCGCTAATGCCCGACCCAAACATAAAGGAAGCATCTTTATTATGACCCTGCCCGCACAGAAACCTTAACCGAAAACGGTTCGGGTCGGGTCACGCGACGTGCGAGCAGTTCTGATATTGGATGAAACGAAAACACGGTCGGGTCGGGTCGGGTCTTGTCTGTCCAGATTCTCCGGAAACCCAATCGGGGCCTGATTCTTCCGGCCCGGTCGATGTCCGGGCCCGGCCTGGTTAATAATGTGAACCGGCCCATTTCAGTCCGGTTCGGTCCGGTTCGGCCCTGCCTGAGCATCGTCACTCTTCTCCAAGTCACTCTCTTACGCTAGCTTCCCCAATCTGCTTAGGAGGAGGAGAGCATGGCCGCAAGCGCGATGGAGGGGGTCGACGGCGGCCCGGGAATGGCGGCGGCGAACGGGCAGACGAGGCCGCGGTGCATGAGCAGCTACGTGGACGAGGGCAGCACCGAGAGCCACCGCTACTACCTGGCCCGGCGGACCCTCCTGGAGATGCTCCGGGACAGGGGCTACGCCATCGCCTCCTCCGAGATCGACCTCTCCCTCGCCGAGTTCCGGGCCGCCCACGGCCAGAGCCCCGACATCGACCGCCTCCGCATCTCCAACTCCCTCCGCTCCGACCCTTCCAAGCGAGTAAGCCCTTCCATCACCCCCTTCTTCTTGATACGTTCTCGCTGATGTAGAGCCGTTCGATCGTCTCCGATATGGTTGTATGCTCTGAGGTGTAGGGGTGCTTCTTAATGGAGTGAGGTGAAATGCTACTTGCTCGAGGGTCAAGTAAGCGAGATAATTTGACAGTTGAGTCTGAGATAGGTAGGGTTCGACAGTGCGTCTTGATTGTCAAATTTGAAATTTTTTTAGTGTAGTGATGAAATTCTTTGCTTGCATGTCTTCTCAAGTTAGCAGAAAATCGGGACGCTGGTTTTTTTGGTTTTGAGCCCATTTCGCGTGTTGTGTGATCAACTACTTTCCACTAAGAGGTGCCTTTTGCTTATATAGGCTCCTTGTCTTTGGTGCTGTTCACATTTACCACCATCTCTCTTGTTACTTTACGCTGTGTTATACCCTTTTCTCATACTGTTTTGGGGAGGGTTCATCTTGTAGTTTTTGTGGAGTCACTTTGCTGTTCAACAACTTCAAGTCGATCTGCATTGTGCTTTAAGTATTTCAAGTTGTGTCGAAAGCGTTGTCTCTTGAGCATTTGTGCTTCAGTCTTGGGAAACCATCAGAAATTGACAGCTCTCTTTGGAAGTAGAAATGCTTCCTTGGTTAATTTTTTTCTTTAATATGAAACTAAATCATATCTTGTGAATTTTTTTCAGCTGGCATTTTCGATTACTTATAATTTTCATATACTTAGTTATTAGCAAATTTTTGTTTACCTGAATTGAAAAGTGCTCTGACTGCAGGTGTTGGCGTACTTTTGCAATCCTGGTCCTGTAAAAGTCAATAGTATCCGTTATATTAGTGGGCAAATTGCTAATAAAGATGGTTTGAGTGGGTTGATATTGGTCTTGCAAGGTGATATGACCAATCAAGCTCTTAAAGCACTGGATCTTTTCTCGTTTAAAGTTGAAGTATTCCAGGTATCACGATGTTCTATTCACTTCTTTTGCCCCCTCATTACTGTGCGTTAGACTGTAGATCATATGTTGGCTACAGCTAGTAGTTTCAGTTGATTGGAACCAAGATTTTTTGTTCTTTTTCCGAAGTTGATTAAATGTGAGCATCAATTCTTTTTAGAGGGAAAGGTGCTATACAAGTCACTAAATCTTGTCAGTGCTTGAGGTGGTTGTTGCGAAAAGAAGGCTCATTTTAGGTTGAAGTAAATTTGCGAGATCCAAATTTAGCCCTAATGTACCTGAAGCCTCGTTATGTTACTTGTTGGAGTAAGATGTGAGGGCTTTGAGTAAATAAAAAATAAAATGTGGCAAGACTCCTTATCAGAACTTCTTCCCTCTGATAATGTATGCAGTTGTGTTTTCTAATGAGTAAGTCAAGATTTTTATTAATCATGATATTTAGGGACATTCATATTGAAAGGGGAGGAATATGATTTTTAAAAGGAGAAAGATGGAGGGACGAAGAAATGCAGCAGCCTATTGGAATGGTGCAGGAAATGTAATATTTGATTATAAGATATAAGAAGCAATGTGATTTTTCCTCGCCTTGTACCTGAAGCTTTGGTGCCTCGCCTTGTCTTAGGCAAGGTGACTTCACCTAGCCGTCACTCAGGCAAGCAGCTCACGGCGCCTGGCAGCACTTTAGCAAAGATTTAGCTATGTCTTAGTCTATTACTTGCCTATCTATATCTAAATAAAGGTAAGTATTAGTATGGGAAGATAATTTGGAAAAAGGAGAAATTTCTTAATAAAATGCAATAAAAAGTGACAAACAATGGCTTGTGCTGTCAGAATTAGATTTAACTATTTTGGTCTCTTTAACATTTGCACCTCCCTTTGCTCATGAACTTTTAGATTATCGTTTCCCATCGCTCGTGCGAGTGCCTAGCGCCTTAGGCATTAGGGGAGTGTCTGCATCTGAAGGGCTCTTGATAAAATTAAAAATACTGATTGAGATGGCTCATATTGAGAGGGGATGGGAAGGCCGAGAAGACATGGATGAGAATAGTTACCAGAAATTTGGTGAATGAGAACCGATGTGGCCGACTTATGATGGGAAGAGAAAATTATTTTTGCTTTTGCAGCTGGTCGAGTTTGATAAAAAGAAGTAATATAGTATTCCGGTATCTAAGTGAAGGTATTGAAAGGTTAAATTGGTATGCGAAGCGAAGTTGTAAAGAGGGGGAGAGTAGAAGACTCTACAGAATAGACATGAGAGTAATAGACTCTACAGAATAGACATACTCTTCTTCTTTTCTACTCAAATAACTTGGCTGCTTATGCTTGCATGCTTTTAGAACCTGGCTTCCCTCCCCTTTCTATGGAGTCACTTGTGTTGCCTGTGTTTGCTTGCTCTCAGGCTCACTTGGAGCATTTTCCTATCAATTCCTGATGTTGGCATGACTTCGAGATTTATTTCACGAACCTATTCTCCTTTCGATCCATTATTCTGTGGATTTATGCAGTCCATTATGAATTCATGCTTTTTGGGGACATTAGTATCTAATCTCAAACTTATAAAAAATTCTTTACAATCAACGGTACTGTCATCTGGTGCTGTCTGTTATTTTCTAATGCAGAGACTCATGTTTCATCTTTATCTGTATTTTAACTAGTTTGTCAGCTGATGCTCCTATCATTCATTATTTCCTGGTACCTTGTCAGATAACCGATTTGCTTGTCAATATAACTAAGCATGTCCTCAAGCCTAAACATCGTGTTCTGACTGACCAAGAAAAGCAAAGGCTTCTAAAGAAGTACAGTATACAGGAGAAGCAGGTTAGCGGACTATTATCTCTACCAATTTAGCATATTAGAAATCTTGTTTCATACCAACTTTTTAGCAGTAATATTCGGTCCTATTGCATAAAGTTTCTTTCTTGAAAGCAATACTCTTATGGTAATCCTTCACAATCCAAATGATCATAGTTTAAAACATTAAGGTACTCCAGATAACTAAATATATACATGTGAATGTGGTGATGTGCGAATTTAGGTAAGTTCGTCAAGTTGTACAGGGAAGAAACTATCTGTTATTAACTCTATTTTAATGGTGGTTTTCTTGCTGCTTCCATTTTCATAAATTGGAGACTGGGAAAGAGAGAAAGGCATTGATATGTCAGTTTGGATAGAATTTGGTGGATTTTTTTTTTTTTTTTGTTTAAGCTGTTAGAGTTTGAAATTTCGATAGCTGCAAAGCATTAGAGTAGCCCCTAGTTGGTGAATAATATTCAATCAAGTTAATGCATGAAAGTTGATATAACCGATGCATAATTTGATTAACTTTATGTTACAGCCTTATAGTTTATTTTGCTGTGCTCCATAGATCTAGATCATCAAGATATCTGTCTCATTGATAAAATTTCATTTTTATTTATGTACCTGTCATTTTGAGTAAACTAAGTACCCTAATGAGTTTCCATTTGAGGTCATGAATTTGCTGGTCATTGGTCACCCATCACATATCTACTAATGGGAACTGACATGATCCAAGTAGATGTCTTTCGACTTGCTAGAAGTTTGCCAGTACACAGTATTGTCCTATGAATTGTGTGCTTTATTTAGATTACATAGTTTGTGCATTCTCAGTTACATGATCCAAGCTTGTCCGGATGGAGTTACAAGCTTGGACTGTGGCACGGAGCACCGATTGTAGAATGAATTATCTTATTTGGAATCAGCAGCATGTGCCTTTTAAATTCGTGTGGTGATATAGGAAAGATCGTGTACTCTCTTCAGTTTTGTGATTGGAGATCATGCTGATAGTGTGTGGTTATTTTGTTTCTCACCAGCTTCCGAGGATGCTGAAGAATGATGCAATCGCAAGATATTATGGACTCGAGAAGGGTCAGGTAGTAAAAGTTACGTACAGTGGTGACATAACTGGCACGCATGTTACGTACCGCTGTGTCTGGTGATTCTATGTTCTCCTGAGATTGGGTTTTTTTGGTATCAATATGTAATAGGAGTTTCCTAGCATAATTACTGGTGGGCAGAACGAGTCACCTTGTTGACTGTTCCGTAATCATGGTCCCGTCCAGTTTTGAACGGTGGTTCGCTCATGGTACCATCCAGTTGTTGATAGTTTTGGATGGTCAAGCTGGTTCACTCGGTCTCTGGCTAGGAGTTGAATTTCATTTTTATGTAGTAGGTTTCACTATAAGTAGTGGCAGCAATTTAAGAATCGCCGATTTGATCCTGTTTTATTGTTCTGTAGTTTTGTCGCGAATTGATGGAAAGCATGTCCAAGGAAGTTTTACCGATTGTTCTGTAGTGATCTTATATCTCGTCACATTGCTGGCTTACGCAGGTGTCACTAATGGGCAAATGCTCCATAGCATTCTTCTTCTCTGGATAGACATTATCTATTGCCAATCAAGTCGAATTTGAAAACGTTCGAAATATACTATAGCGCGATGTCGATATTAATGGCAACTTCTGTGGAATTTCGGGTCAAGATGTTTCGTGTATTGTAATCTATCATCCTCCTTCCAAGGTAGTTGAGTTCTTATGCTAGACGAAGAAAACGAGGTTGATAAGGGCTTTCCCAAAGTACGAGGTTTATTTAGATAAAAAAAAAAAGCACGAGGTTTATGCTTTTGAAAATTATTAGGTATTATTGACTCTTGTTACCTCACTTCACCTGAGCGGTGAGGTCATGGGAGTCGCTCATGTGGATTGGACTAATGTAGGTTGGGAGTAACCAATAGAAGCTCCTCTGTTACCCTCTTCAATAAGTCATAAACCATTTAGGGTTCTTTTATTAAGTCTTGAATCACTAGACTGTCATGCAATGAACGATTATAGGGATCATTCACCCTTGTTCATGGCTTCCAAAAATTTATCGAATAATCCGTGCAAAGCACGAGTTAAATTCAAATATCTAATGATAATACTATGAAGATTGATGATATAGGGCCATGAGATTTGACTTAGTGGTTTAGGAGGGGCTTGTGGGCAGGGTTAGACAAACATATTGGGGGGCCAAAAATGCATAAAGGAAAAGTCATATGATGGGAGTTTCTTTAGGTTATTTCAATATTAATTATATTAAAATGAATGACTAGGAAATATTTAGGACCGAACGAAGTATATCATGAGATAGCCCTTTCGTTTTTTGCTAATCAAGTTAAAAAGCCCTATTGATAAGGTTCAATTTCAATATAAATTGGTTGTACTTAATCTCTTTGAGAGAGAATCTGTAAGTCACCAATAACTTAAAATTAAAAAATATTGACATCTTTTTAATTTGAGGAATGCAAAAGTCATAGAATATTTAAAATTTGATTTGTCATGTATGCTTCACACAATGTGATATAATGAATGGAGAATTATGACTATTAAGACTGCATTACAATAGGATATTAAATTGTTGTTATCTCTACTGATATTATCTCGTCGTTTATCTCTCTCTCTCATTTATCTTTTTTTCTATTTCGGAGAGCTACTCTATTAAGTAAATAAAGAAAGGTGAAAATTTAGTCATAATTTCAAACGAAGGCAAGAAAAACAACCTTGTAATTTTCCCTCTCAAACAAACGTTCGTATCGCATGCAAACCTCAGACAGAGACGAGCCCAGTGACACCGAGACAACTCTGTTTCTTCCATCGCTGAAGTGAGGATTTCTCAGGTTAGTCTCAGTTTTCTCATCGACTCCTCAGTTGTTCTGCTCAAACGGGTTGGTCTAGTCGCATGATACAATCTGTTCCGAAAACCATAAAGATCGTTGCAGTTTCTTGATAGTTTCTTGCGCGCCAAGCACTCTGTTCCTAGTCGTGGCCACAATGGGGGAAACGCTGGATGATTGGAGAGAATTCTTTAGAACGACTGACACGGACATTTTCGAATTCATTGACACCGCAATCACATTAGCTGCGTTGGATCGCCCGAGAGATTTTCGGCTGCAAAGAGACCGCATCGCGGAGTGGCTGTTCTCCACCACGACGACTCAGAGTCGGTGCCCAGGGTGCGATGATTTGCCTGTGTCGCGTGATCGTGGAGATGATTGCGTACGCACGGGTAAAGAAAGCAAAAGGATCAGAGACAATGGTAGGGTTGTCGTCGAGTACAATGGGGTCGACATGAACCGGGAAAGCTATCACGATTGTGGAGGAGCCGAGGCAATTAGTGATGAGATTGATGAACAGTTTCAAGTTATTGGTGAAGTTCTAAGGATCAAGCGGGTTTTGGACAACAGTCAACACGAGGTGAATATCTTAACTGTGAATTCAGTACATCGATTCCAATTTCCTGCTTCTTGAACGTTCTTTGCCTGTTTGATTTCAGATTTATGTAGTTTTGGAGATAAATGCGTTGAAAAGTCGCTTTTTGTTCTGTTCTCTGTCCAAATATAACTTGGTTCTCTTTTTTGGTATGGCAGTCTGATTCCGCGCTGTATGAATCACTGAGAAAACTCCAGTTGATGACCATCTCTATGGATTTATTGGAGGTTTGATTAAATTGCATATCTTTCATTCAAGTTCTTGAAAGACAATCTTTAATTTATCTAATTTTGCCGACTTCTTGCAGAAAACTAAGATTGGGATAACTGTCAACAGCCTCCGGAGGAAAGGTGGATCGACGCAGATTACTCAGCTTGCACACAATATCACCATGTATGAAGGGATATATTTCAGTTCTATCAATTCTCATTCATTCCGTGGCTTCTTGAAAAACAGGACACTTGGGCTAAGTGTCTGTATGCTGCAACATGAAGCAATCATAACAAGTTTTTTCTAGTAACGACTTATGACAACTTTCCATGGACTTCAAACTTGATTAGATGTAACTTTATAGAAAAACTGGATCTTCAGATAAAAGTAGAAACACTTCAACCTGCGATGCCTGCTTCTTGCATAATAAAAGCAATGACACTCTTTTTGCGTATCTCTTGTTTGTAGCATAGGTTCTGGTGACTTAGCTACTTCACTTAATTGGAAGCGCAAGAGCATGGTCATTTCATCAGAATTTCCAGTCCAATTACTCACAAATCAATTCTTTTTCTTATTGCAGGGGATGGAAGGACATGGTTGAAGAGATATGCCGCAGCACAAAGAATGTTGCTGGTATTAGCATTGCTATGCAAATGTTCTTGTAGGTTGCTTGTTTTTTTATGGGGGTCCCAATTCTCATTTGTTTAAACTTGTCAGGTTCTTATGTAGATCTTCGCAAAGTCGGAAAAATAGATTGTGCTAGTGGACCAACATCGTCAGTGAAGAACCAGAACATCCCAATATGGCAACAAGAGAAACACACCAAGAAGTCCGGTTCAATTGCTAAGAGGAACCAGAGGCCAAATGTGAACCAGCACCTGGCCACTGTGAAGCCCAATACATCTCCAAGTATTGACTCAAAGACAATCCCACCAAGCAAGATTGTGACACGGAAGTTTGAGAAGGAAAGAATGCTTCGAAACTCGAACGGCATCATGGGCCACAAAAGACTCTTCACCAGTCAACGGGATGTAAGTGCGAAAGCTATTTTATTTCAGATTATAATTCCAACCAAAAGCTGACCTGGTCATTTGTTTCAATCAGAAGATCAACGGCTCGGATGAAGATGCAGTGGAAAAGAAATTGGGTGCCTCCAAGAGGATCTCACAAGAGCATTATCAGCAAGCAGAATCAGGTTAGTTGCTTTTTGCAGGAAGCTCGGCTGTTTCTTAGACCTTCTACATAGCAAGCAATCACTCCGTTCATTCTTTTTTACAGCCAAGAGGCAGCGGACAGTGCTGGCTTTACCTGTTCTCCCAAAGCAACCCGCAAGTCATAAGGGTCCGGGTCCACGCGCTAGAATCGAAAAAACTCTTAGCCAGATGGCAAAGTCACGGAGACGGATCTCATTGTTTTGAAGACCAAACTTCCAAAGCCGAATGCAGCTGTTGCTTGATTCTTCATTTGTGAAAATCTGTGTTTATTACCTCTGGACACGTTGCATATATTAGCTATGACTGATAGGAGTTTTTGTTCAGGAAGCTTGTGCTTAGCTCGTATAGCTATGACTTGTTGCTTATATAGCTCATGATGGATATAATACAAAAGGGCTTGTAGGGGGGATTAGTCCTCCCACATTCAAAGTTTTTTTTTCCGTGAATAACACGTGAATTTACTCATCAAAAGTTGCTTCTCAAAGCAGTCTAAATGTGCAGTTGGATGCTCGGAATTGCTTTTGCTCTGTTTTATGCCATCCTTGAGAGCATTGTCCGAGATATCTCCGCCTGATATATACTTTAGACTCCGTTTTGCTCTTCTTTAAGCTCCTTGAACTCAAGTTTCACGTCTCTGCAATTCATCAAACGCAAGAGCAGAGGATTTATTTGTAGGTATTAACTGTAACTAGGATTAAAATGCAACAATTGGACGTGGGAATTTATTTGTGGGCCGAAGATTGGAGGACCAAACTACAAAAGAGCAGAGGAGGAACAATTCTCCTTATAATTCTGGAAAGATATAGAAAGAGAAGGAAAACATTAACGCCTTTTATAGCCCGGAAATACAAAAATAGAAAATATAAGAATACGGGGGCATCTGACATGTCAGTTATGACAAAAATAGCCTGGCTTTTCCTGTCAATCCCAGATGTTGGCATGTCTTAAAGATATATTTCATGAACCTATTCTCCTTTTAATCCAGTATTCTGTGGATTTGTGCTGTCCTTTATGGATTCAAGCTTTTTGGGGACATTAGTATCTAATCTCAATCTTATAAATCTGCTTTACAATCACGAGTTCTGTCATCTTGTGCTGTATTATTTTCTGATGTGAAACTCATGTTTCATCTATATGTGTATTTTAACTAGTTTGCCATTTGATGCTGCTATCGTTCATTATTTTCTGACAATGTGTTAGATAACCGACTTGCTTGTCAACATAACTAAGCATGTCCTCAAGCCTAAACATCGTGTTCTGACTGATCAATAATAGCAAAGGCTTTTAGAGAAGTACAGTATACAGGAGCAGGAGGTTAGTGGACTATTATACTCTACCAATTTAGCATACTCAAAATCTTGCTTCATACAGACTTTTAAGCAGTAATATTCGGTTCAATTGCGAAAAGTTTCTTCCGTGAAAAGAATATTCTTATAGTATTTCTTCACACTCCAAATTATCGTAGTATAGTCTTTAAGGTACTTCAGAAAACTAAATAAATGCATGCGGATGTGGTGATAAGCGAATTTACGTAAATTCATCAAGCTGTACAGGGAAGAAACTCTGTTATTAACTCTACATTAGTGGTGTTTTTCTTGCTGTTTTGGTTTTCATAAATAGGAGACTGGGAAAGAGAGAAATTAAGGATATATATTCATGTGCACATAGATGCTGAGGAGATGCATTGATACGTCAGTTTGGATGGGATTTGGTCGATTTTTTGATTTCGTTTAAGCTCTTTATGGTTTGAAATTTTGATAGCTGCAAAGCATTAGAGTAGCCGCTTGTTGGCGAATGATGTTCCATCAAGTTAATGCATGAAAGTGCATTATTATAACCGATGCATAATTTGATAACTCTGTTATATGGACTTGTAGGTTATTTTGCTGTGCTCCAAAGATCTAGATCATGAAGATGTCAGTGTCATTGATGAAACAATTTCGGATATTTTTTTTTGTACCTTTCATTTTAAACATACTAAGGGTCTGTTTAGTGACCAGTCAAACTATGCATGATTCTATTCTTTTGTTCTCAAGAAAAAAAAAGAATAGAAATCTGTTTGGTAAATTTTTTGTTCCCAAAAACAAATTTGTTCTAAGAAATAGTTTTGGAACAGAATCAAGAATAAAAATAAAAAGTTGATTCTTGATTCTGGGAACAAGAATCAGAAATGGAAAAGAAAATTTTTTTTTCTTCTTCTTTCTTGGCTAGTGGTTGACTACCGGCCACATGCCAGGGCCGGCGAGGGCGAGGGCTAGACCCTCATGGCCTAGGCAAGGGCTGGACCCTCACAGCCTAGGTAAGGGCTGCGTAAGATTAGGCGAGGGCTGGACCCTCGTGGCCTATTCCAGGGCAGCGACAAGGGTGGCCCTCGCCCAAGTCGTGAGGGTCCAGCCCTCGCCCTCGCCGGCGAGGGTGGCCCTTGCTCGCGGCCCTCGCTGGCCCTGGCCGATAGCCGGTCGCCGGCCACAGGCCAAGGAAGGAGAAGAAGAAAAAAGAAAAGAAAAAAGAAAGAAAGAAATATTAAAAAATTCAAAATATTATTAATAAAAAAAAATTTTGTACAATTACCAAACGCATTTCTATTCTTTTTCTATTCCAAGAATAGAAATTTTGGACAGTTACCAAACGCCTTCAAATGCTTAGAAATTATTTCCGGGAATGGAATAAAAAAAAATTATTTCTGAGCAGAAATTATTTTCATGAACAAAATGGTTAAGAAACGCATCCTAAGTTCCCTAACGAGCTTCCATTTGAGGTCATGAATTTGCTGGTCATTGGTCACATGCCACATAACTAATAACGGGAAATGACATTATCCAAGTTAGGGCACGAATGACAGCCATTATGTTTCAGAAATCAATTTCTGGCTAGAAATAGAAAATCTATTTCTGTTTCCTCGATGAATTTATGAGCAAAAATACACGTTTGATAACGACACAAAATTTCTATTTTCGAAACAAAATTTTGTTTGATAACGGCACAAAATTTCTCCCTCTCGGGTGGCCGTCGAGTGGACTGCGGGCAGATGGCGGTGGTGGACGGCGATTCGGCCAGTGCGGAAGACAACGGTTGGAGGCGGTCGGCATCGGGCGACGGGAGGGGGGCAGTGGCGGAAGGAGGGCGGCGGCAATGGGAGGAGGGCGGACGGTGGCAGCGAACGGCGGGCGGCGGACGGTGGAGGGCGGCGGCAATGGGAGGAGGGCGGACGGTGGCAGCGAACAGCGGGCGGCGGACGATGGAGGGCGGTGGCAGACATTGATGCGGCCAGTGCGAAGGACGGTGGCTAGAAGCTGCCGGCGTCGGGCAATGGCGGGAGGCGAGCGACGGCCGACGATGGGAGGGGGGAGGCGGAGGGAGGAGGGTGGTGGCGAGCAGCCGGCGGTAGGAGATAGTGGCCAGCGGACGGCGAGCGACGGCCAACAATGGGCAACGGCGGGAGGAGGGCGGCCGGCGGTGGGAGACGGTGAATGGCGAGAGGCGGCGGTCGGCAAGTGGGCGGCGATGAGCGGTGGGTGGGCGGCTGGCTAGTAGTGAGAGTGAGCGATGAAAAGAATTTTTATTTCTCATTTTTGTTCCAGAAATAGAAAAGTAGAAAATTTTACTTCTTATTTTTGTTTCAAACCTATTTCTGAAATCAAAATTTATTTCAGAAATTGAAAAATGAAATTGCGTTACCGAACGGATTTCTATTCCAAACTTGTTTCTGGAACAGAAAAATCGAAATAGAATAGTTATCATTCGCAGCCTTACCGTCGGTCGACTTTCTAACAGTTGGCCAGTACACAGTATTGCCCAATGAATTGTGTGCTTTATTTAGATTGCATAGTTTCTGCATCCATTAAGTGCATTCAGAATTACATGATCCAAGCTTGTCCGGATGGAGTTACATGCTTGGACTGTAGCATGTAGCACCGATGGTAAAATGAATTTTCTTATATGGAATCAGCAGCATGTGTGCTTTTAAATTCGTGTGGTGATATAGAAAAGCGTGTGTACTCTCTTTAGTTTGGTGATTGGAGATCATGCCGATGGAGTGTGGTTATTTTGTTTCTCACCAGCTTCCGAGGATGCTGAAGAACGATGCAATCGCAAGATATTATGGACGTGAGAAAGGTCAGCTAGTAAAAGTTACCTACAGTGGTGACTTAACTGGCATGCATGTAATGTGCCGCTGTATCTGGTGATTCTATGTTCTCCGGAGAGTGGTGTTTTTGGTATCAATTTATGATACGAGTTTCCTAGCATAATCAATGGTGGGCAGAATCAGTCAGCTTGTTGACTGTTCCGTAATCATGGTCCCATCCTGTTTTGAGCGATGGTTCGCTCATGGTACCATCCAGTTGTTAATAGTTTTGGATGGTCGAGCTTGTTCATGTTGTCTCTGGCTAGGAGTTGAATTTCTGTTTTATGCGGTAGGTTTCGCTATTAGATATGGCAGCGATTGAAGAATGGCTTGCTGATCCCGTTTTGCTGTTCAGTAGTTATGTGGCGAATTGATGGAAAGCATGCCCAAGGAAGTTTTACCGATTGTTCTGTAGTGATCTTGTATCTCGTCACATTGCTGGCTGACAAAGGTGTCACTAATGGGCAAATGCACCGTAACATTCTTCTTTCTTTCAATAGACATTATCTATTGCCAATCAAGTCAAATTTGATAATGTTCCGAAAGATACTATAGGGCAACGTCAATGTTAATGGCAGCTTTCGGATCAAGATGTTATGTGTATTGTAATATATTATCCTCCTTCCAAAGTAATTGAGTTCTTATATCCAAAGCATGAGGATTATGCTTTTCAAAATTATTATGTACTATTGAGTTTTGTTACCTCACTTCACATGAGCTATTATATTATATGAGACTACGTGATCTAATTACTCATGTGGAGTGGACTAACGTTGGTCGGGAGTAGTCAAATAAAAGCTCCTCTTTTTGCCCTCTTGAATGACATAAATCAGCTGGGGATCTTTTATTAAACCTTGAATCACTAGAATGTCATGCAATAAAACGATTGTAGGTATCATTCAACGTTGTTCATGGCTTCCGAAAATTTCTCAAATAATCCGCGCAAAGCGTGAGTTAAATTCAAATATATAATGATTATACTAAGAATATTGATGAAATAGTCCTATGAGATTTGACTTAGTGGTTTAGGAGGGGCTTGTGGGCAGGGATAGAAAAACATATTGGGAGGGCCGAAAATGCATTAAGGAAAAGTCATATGAAGAGAGTTTCTTTAGGTAATATCGATATTAATTAGATTAAAATGAATGACTAGGAAATATTCAGGACCGAACGAAGTATATCATGAAATAGCCCGTTCTTTTTTGGCCGATTAAGTTAGAAAGCCCTATTGATCAGGTTCAATTTCAATATAAATTGGTTGTACTTAATCTCTTTGAGAGATAATTTATAAGTCACCAATAACTTAAATTCAAAAATATTGACATCTTTTCTAATTTGAGGAATGCAAAAGTAAAAGAATATCTAAATCTGATTTGTCATGTGTATCCTTCACACATTTAGTTTGGTTCAGTCAAATTAATTGATGTTTTCTTTGTAAAACAAACGAAGCCAAATCAATAGATAAATCAATCAAAAAGTTCTCATTTATCTAAAAATATCTTGATTTAGTCCAATCTATCGATTTTGATATCTCTCCGAACACCTATGTGCTACAATTCTTTCTACATTGGTAGAAATTATTAGTTAGGCCAAACCACAAAGATGTTTGTAATCAATAAAATTTATTTCTTTTCACCTAATATGTATTCTTCTCTTCACACCGTACATGAGGGTGTGTCTAGAACAACTTTTTTTTTTTAACTCGAACCATCCGAAACTTTTACAAGATACAAATATTTGCAATAAATTGACAACAAAACCATGTGATATCCAAAGATATTTGGATATCATTTCAAATTTGGAGCGAGAAAATAAAAGAAGAGAGGAATATTTGCTTACGTAAGAGCAAAAGATATAAAATAAAGAAAATTGCTCTAAGCTGGTATCCAAAAAACTCCCTCGTTTATTTTTTTTTTTCTTTTTCAGGGAGTTTATCTATTGGATAATTAAACAAGCCGTGAGAATTTAGTCATAAATTTCAAAAGAACACAAGAAAGACAACCTAGTAATTTTCCCTCTCAAACAAACGTTCGTATCGCATATAAACCTCAGACGGAGACGAGCCCCAGCGACACAACGACGGCTCTGTTTCCACCATCGCTGAAGCGAGGATTTCTCAGGTTTGTCTGAATTTTCTCGTCAAGTCCCTCCGTTGTCCCACCGGTGCTCTGACCGAGTTTCCGAATGGGTAGGGTGTTGTCGCGCGCGATACAATCTGTTCCGAAAACCATAGAGATCGTTGTGGTTTCTTGATAGTTTCTTGCGTGCCAAGCACTCTGTTCCTAGTCGTGGCCACGATGGGGGAATCGCTGGATGATTGGAGGGATTTCTTTGGAACGGTGGACATTTTTGAGTTCATCGAGACCGCGATCACGATAGCCGTGCTGGATCGCCCGAGAGATTTTCGGCTACAGAGAGACCGTATCGCCGAGCGGCTGTTCTCGACCACGTCGACTCAGAGTCGGCAGTGCCCAGGGTGCGATGACCTGCCTGAGTCGCGCGATGGTGGAGATGATTGTGTACGCGCCAATAAAGAAAGCAAAACGATCAGGGACAACAGTAAGGATGACGTTGAGCGTGATGGGGTGGACATGAACCCGGAAAGCTATCTCGATTATGGAGGCGCAGAGGCATTTAGTGATGAGATTGATGAACAGTCTCAAATTGTTGGTGAAGTTCTAAGGATCAAGCGGGTTTTGGACAACAGTCAACACGAGGTGAATATCCTAACTTGAATTCAGTACATTCTTTGCCCATTGATTTCGAATTTCTGTAGTTTTGGAGATAGTGTGGTGAAAAGTCGTTTTTTGTTTTGTTCCTTGTCCATACATAACGTGGCTTTGTTTTTTGATATGGCAGTCTGATTCCGCGCTTTATGAATCACTGAGAAAACTCCAGTTGATGACTATCTCTATGGATGTATTGGAGGTTTGATTAAATAGCTTATCTTTCAATTAAGTTCTTGAAAGACAATGCCAATAGGCTTCTTTAATCCATCTAATTTCGCTGAGTTCTTGCAGAAAACAAAGATTGGGATAACTGTCAACAGTCTCCGGAGGAAAGGTGGATCGACGCAGATTGCTCAACTTGCACACAACATCACTATGTATGGAGAGATATATTTCAGTTCTATCAATTCTCATTGATTTCATAGATTCTTAAAAAATAGGACACTCGTACTTAATGTCTGTGTGCTGCAACATGAAGCAACTATACAAGTTTTTCTCAGTAACTACATATGCCCGACTTTCCAAGCACTTCAAACTTGATTAGACGTAACTTTATGAAAACACTGAATCTTTAGAAACACTTTAACCTGCGATGCCTGCTTCTTGCATAATTCGAGCAATGACACCCTTTTTGCACATATCTTGTTTGTAGCATAGATTCGGGTGCTTTAGCAACTTCACTTAATTGGAAGCGCAAGAGCATGGTCATTTCATAAGGATTTCCAGTGCAATTACTCACAGAGCGACTCTTTTTCTAATTGCAGGAGATGGAAGGCCATGGTCGAAGAGATATGCCGCAGCACAAAGGATGTTGCTGGTATTAGCATTACTATGCAAATGTTCTTGTAGGTTGCTTGTTCTTTATCTGGGTCCCCTTTCTTATTTGTTTAAACTTGTCAGATTCTTATGTGGATCTTCGCAAAGTCGGAAAAATAGATTGTGCCAGTGGATTATCATCGTCAGTGAAGAACCAGAACGCCCCAAAATGGCAACAAGAGAAACACGCCAACAAGGCCAGTTCAATTGCTAAGAGGAACCAGAGACCAAATATGAACCAACAACAGGCCACTGTGAAGCCCAATACATCGTCTAGTATCAACTCAAAGACAATCCCACCAGGCAAGATTGCAACACAGAAGTTTGAGAAGGAAAGAATGCTTCAAAACTCAAACGGAATCATGGGCAGCAAGAGACTCTTCACCGGTCGACGGGATGTAAGTGGGAAAGTTATTTAATTTCAGATTATCATTCCAACTAAAAACTGACTTGGTCATTTGTTTCAATCAGAAGATCAACAGCTCGGATGAAGTTGCAGTGGAAAAGAAATTTGGAGCCTCTAAGAGGATATTACAAGAGCACTATCAACAAGCAGAATCAGGTTAGTTGCTTTTGCAGGATGTTCGGCTGTTTCTTAGACCTACTACATAGCAAGCAATCGCTCTGATCATTCTTTTTGACAGCCAAGAGGCAGCGGACAGTGCTGGCTTTACCTGCTCTCCCAAAGCAACCGGCAAGTCATAAGGGTCCGGGTCCACGCGCTCAAATCGAAATAACTCTTAGCCAGATGGCGAAGTCACGTAGACGGATTTCATTGTTTTGAAGACCAAACTTCCAGAGCCGGATGGAGCTGTTGCTTGATTCTTCATTTGTGAAAATCTGTGTTTATTACCTCTGGACACGTTGCATATATTAGCTATGACTGTTTGATAGGAGTTTTTGTTCAGGAAGCTTGTGCTTGACATGTTGCTTATATAGCTCATGATGGATATAGAAGTACAGAAGAAGGGCTTGTAGTGGGTATTAGTCCTCCCACATTCAAACATTTTTTTCCGTGAATAACACATGAATTTACTCATCAAAAAGTTGCTCCCCAATGCAGTCTAAATTGTAACAAAGAAGAACGACAGTCGTAATGGGAAGAAAAGATGTGCAGTTGGATGCTTGGGAACTAGTGCTTTTTGCTCTGTTTCGGGCCATCCTGGAGACAATTGTCCGAGATATCTCCGCCTGATATATACCTTATATATTCCGCTTTGCTCGTCTTCTAGCTCCTTGGACACGAGTTTCCCATCTGTGTAAGCTGCAACTCATCAAACGCGGGAGCGGGAGAAATTCGACCAAGCAAAACACCGAATTCTTCAGTTCTAAACTGAATGAAGAGAATCATCCAATCTAGTTCGCCCACCTATCGTCTGGTTGGAGATTGGCTCCATTCGAGCTTTCGCGGGTTGATTTGAATTGGTCGTGACCAGTGAAGCGAATGCGGTCGCTCCTAAATGGGTGGTTACAGGGGCGTGAAAAACTGTGATAGCGAAAGGTGATTCCTTGGTGTTGGTCGAGTTGTTGCTGTGACCTTGGAAGGGCTTGAAATGTTGGGGTTATGGAGATCATCACTCAGCTCCACCAAGGTCGCGAGGAGAATCCTCCCTGTTCTGGGTGTATTCAGGGCTTATCGCTCCACAAGCGATTCTGTGGGTCTCGGAGTTCGTTTGCAGGATAGTGATTTTACTGGTGCAAAATCGAACATTGCTCGGTCTACTTGGCTGATGACGAAGCTCGGTAAGGAAGGGAGGATTTTGGAAGCACGCAAGGTGTTCGATGAAATGGGTGTAAGAGACGAGATAGCGTGGACCACTCTGATATCTGCTTATATCAAGTGCGGGTTGATTGAAGAGGCACGCGAGCTGTTTGATAGGGCGGATGCCAAGAGAAATGTGGTGACTTGGACTGCCATGCTCGGGGGATATGTGAAGTTGGGTAGAATACGTGAAGCGGAGACTTTGTTTGATGAAATGCCCCATAGAAATGCTGTCTCGTGGAACACCATGATTGACGGGTACGCACAAAATGATCAAGTTGACTCGGCGTTGAAGTTGTTTGAGAGCATGCCCGGCAGGAATGTGGTTTCATGGAATACGATTATCACTGCTTTGGCACAGCGTGGGAGGATCGAGGAGGCAAAGGCGCTTTTTAATCAGATGCCTAGAAGGGATGTAATTTCCTGGACGGCGATGGTGGCAGGTTTGTCTAAAAGTGGGATGATCGATGAGGCAAGAGAGTTGTTCGATAGAATGCCAGAACGTAATATTGTCTCATGGAACGCAATGATCACTGGTTATGCACAGAATAAAAGGTCAAGGGAGGCTCTTAATTTGTTTGAGAGAATGCCAGAGAGGGACGTGCCATCGTGGAATACGATGATCACAGGGCTTATTCACAATGGAGACATAGAGATGGCCAGGGATTTGTTCAATGAGATGCCCCAGAGGAATGTTGTCTCTTGGACTACCATGATCACTGGGTATGTTCAGGATGGGCAAAATGAAGAAGCGCTAAAAATATTTTTGAAAATGAAGGGTGATGATGAGATAAATCCGAATCAAGCAACCTTTGTGAGCGTTTTGGGCGCTTGCAGTGACTCAGCAGGTCTTGGGGAAGGAAAGCAAGTTCATCAGGTAATTTGTAAAACACCATATCATGATAATACGTTTGTGGCATCGGCTCTCATAAACATGTACTCAAAATGTGGGGAGTTAGTCACTGCAAGGAAGATGTTTGATGATGGTTTGTGGAGCCAAAGGGATTTAATATCATGGAATTGTATGGTTGCAGCTTATGCTCATCATGGATGTGGAAGAGAGGCGATCACTTTGTTCAACCAAATGATAGAATTAGGTTTTAAACCCGATGACTCCACCTTTGTGGGGTTGCTCTCCGCATGTAGCCATGCTGGTTTAGTGGAGGAGGGCCTAGAGTACTTCAGCAGACTTGTGCAGGACAAATCCGTGCAGTTGAAAGAAGATCACTTTGCATGTTTGATTGATCTGTGCGGTCGAGCTGGTAGGCTGGAGGAAGCTTTTAATTGGATTGAGCAGGTTGTGGATAAGCCATCTGCATGTCTTTGGGGAGCCCTTCTAGCGGGATGCAACTATCACGGGAACGCGGAAATTGGCAAGGTGGCTGCAGAGAAGCTTTTTGAGTTGGAACCAGAAAATGCTGGCACATATTTGTTGTTGTCTAACATATATGCATCGACGGGGAAATGGAGAGACGCTGCAAGAGTGAGGTTGGAAATGAAGGAGGAGGGATTAAAGAAACAGCCAGGTTGTAGTTGGATTGAGGTGGGGAATATGTTTCATGTGTTCGTTGTTGCCGACAAGTCTCATTGTCAAAAGGAGCTTATCTATTCTCTGCTCCTCGATCTTCACTTGAAAATGAAAATGAAGAGGTCTAGTTCTGTACAAAAAGATGTTGATTTAGCGGATGAGGACGTTTTGGTAGCGTGAAAGTCATGATATTTGCCTTCTCTGTCCAATTGCAACTCTTTACTATTTTTGTTTGCTCAGGTTTGAGAAACGGATGGCACTCCGGTAGTCATGCGGTAACACGGCCTCCTCAGCCAAGCTGACCATTAAAATTTCATGATTCAAAACAAAGCATGATCGGATCTTAACCTATATAGGTTGTGTGATGTCTCTTGCGAAGCCGCACATGCCCTTCACTGTTACTTCTCTTTCATGTTTCTCATCTCTTCTTGTCAGCTCCACCAACTTTCTTCCCCTAGGGCATATACTAAGATGAACGCGCAAATCTTGGTAAAACATTCGTCATTGCATGTCTTTGGCAGAGTCGGCTGTGTCCGAGGTAAGCTTGATTGCCATTAGAGAAGTATTTTGATAAACCATTGTGTTCGCTCCAGCAAATCATAAAACATCCCGATTTCTGCTCTATCTTTTCAGCGTTGATCGGACACGGTATACCAGCAGAAGAGTGAGCTCAACTGAAGAAAAGGTAAAAGGTATGGGGTGTGATTTTGGTCAATTTCTACCGAAGCTGCTTTTTAAGATGGCGGGAGTAATATGCTGGGAATCTCCTTGGGATTGACAGATTTTGGAGCAGACATACAAACTGTTCCGATCAAGAGACCCCTTTAAAGCGCCAACTCTTCTGAAAATCTAAAAACTACGGTAGTTGCACATACATACATACATACAACCGAGACCCCTGCTTCTCTTGCATCCGCAACTAGTGCCGACTCTTCTCAAATTTTCTGCTTGATTGAGGCTTTGCACAAAAGCAGTAATTAATTACTTCAAGTAAACTCTAACAAATGACAATGGAGAATGAGACCCGCTTGCAAGAAGGTTTTGGCGCATACATACAAAATATGGAGCATCCAAATCTCGTTTCATGATGCTTTGGTAAAAAACTTTAAAAGAGCAACAATAACCCAGTTTCAGAATCCAGGTAATACAGGTACTTTTTTCCTGGCCAAAGGTTCCAAAGATAAATTGGATTTATCATTTCTTGCGAGCCAATGCTGCTGCAATACCACCAGCTACAAGTCCAACGGCAGTTGCCGTGATGCCTATTCCGATTACACCATCTGTATTACAATAGAAGTTATCAACAAAACTTCTGATTTTTTGAACCATTAGAACAATTATCAGGACTAGGTAAATTTTTTATTCATACCCTTAGTGATTCGACTTTCAACAGTCTTTTTGAGTGTCAACGCTTGCCTCCAATCAGGTGCAATCTACATACACAAAGATATAGAGGAATCAAGACAAGAAAAGAAGCCTGTGAATTAAAATTCCTCAAAAAAGTGGGACAGCTGATCGTCTGACGGAGAAGCGCAGTGACCATCCCATATCAATATGAAGCTAAAAGCCCTTGACTTATAAGCACCAGTAACACTTGAACAATCCACATACAAATTTCTCCAAAAAAAAAAAACAAAAAACAAAAAGGGGAAAGGCCGTGTATCAGGGAATGGAAATTTGAGCCAACAAATTTGCTGTTTAAGTGAGTCAAATCACATTTTTAAGGAAAAGCCCAACAGTGAAATCCTTTTAAAGAGGCTATATCATTAATGATAATTGACAAAATGATAATGAATACGAGCTAGTAATCGACAGATTGATAATGATAGTTTAACTCATCCATATCTCACAATCTCTTGTCTCAGAAATGTTTAAACCTCCCATAGTAAAATGTGATCACAATTGTAAGTTCCAATAAACCACAAGAAACAGCTTATTTCGAGCAAAAAACATAAAGCATACTTGGTACAGAAGACAAGAAACGCAAAGAGCTGCATCAAATGGTTAACCAACCTCCAAACATCGCTGTACAAGCTGCAAGCTTTTGGAATACTCCCCACTTCTGTAATATCCAACAGCCAGAAGATACAGCTTCTCCCTCTGTTGTAAAGGGGTATTCGTGTTCCCTAAGGTAGCTGAAAACGGATGTCACCCAATTCAGTATTTAAACAGGCAAGCATTTTATATAAGGCTAATGTTGAAAGTAGCCTATAATGATAGGCAGATTCAACCAACATCAAGGTCAAAGGTCACAGGAATCACAAATATTTATCTGCTCCACCAGCCAAGGGTTCCTCTTTCAAGGATTTGTTACTTTTTATCTCTTATTTAAATAAAAAAAAAATCATGAGGTGAATGCAGATTTAAATTGGCGCAGATCTCAATAAATCAACCATCAAGATGGCTTATAAGATGCAACCTAAGACACGTGACATGGTCCTACTAGGAGGAAAAGGCCGGACCGCCAGAGTAAATAATTCTGATAAAGAGACATGATTGGAAGTTTTTTTGCCATGTTCAACCAGAGATCTTGCAAAGAACATAGTAAAATAAAATATTTCTTGGGCTGATCTAGTCCTGTTAAATGATCTGGAAAGATGAAATTCTTGCGCAATTTGCAGTGACTTCCAGGAAACAAATTATGATAACAAGATAAAACAGAAAAGACAGTCATGGCACACATGATTAGAGTGATTAGATAAATTTTGCACGAAGATGAATGAACAATATTGGTTAGCCAGAGGTGCTTCAGCATGTACTGATTATTTCTACACTGAAATACCAAAACGGAACAAGATAAATAGTGAAATGCCATGTGCCATAAGTGAGCTAACAAGTAAAAGATATTATTGAGCAACAAATTAATGAAATGGAAGTTAGAACAGACGATCTAGTCACTTGGCTATCACATTAAACAGTTACTGCTGCATAAAAATACAATTGTTGACAACATTGAGCTAAAACAACACAAAAAAACTGAAACAGAAAAGACGGATAACTACCTTCAAGCATGGCTATCCCTCGCTGCACATCTTCTGGTTGTCTAGAATGAACAAGGGCCCATGATAACCTCATTATGCTATCACTTTTGAGCTCATCTGAACCACCATTGGCAGCTTCTGCAACATCTCTCTCACAGCCCTGCCAATGTATAATAAATTGACTCACCAATAGAAAAGTTGAGATATGCAATAAGATCAATCATACAATTGAGTGTGGAAGCAAAGTGAGTTCAGGTTTGCCTTTAAGGAGTAGGTTTTACAATCTACCAAGCCGCACAGAGAAAAAGAATATGCAGAATCACTATTAACAGGCCATCATAGTCAATTACGTGACAAACATATTGTTCAGGAGATGCATTATTGAGTCAGAACATTATCATGAAAAAGTAAAGACAAGTTATGGATCTCAATGACGATTCTTACAAGATGAAAGTAAACTTGTAAGGAAAACCATCCCCAATATACATGGAACTAAGAGAAGGAGGCAAATCCATAATCACTTAAACAAGCGACTTGGCTCCTTGTAGCCCAAAATAAAAAAAAGGAACCAAGAAAGCTTTCTCGCAGAAATAATCCAAAAAACTTGTTCCCCTGTGCAAGACTGCCACCAGTACACCAATGATATAGGGTGCATTTGTTTAACAAGACACTCGAGCAAAATAGTGAACCATGAAGACTTGGGACATCAACCAAATTCTCTGAACGATCAAATGCTTTCCATCACCAATTTCAAATTAGTTGGCAGAGAAGGAACCTCTCTGTAATAGTATGATAGAGGTTCCAATGAGGTTCACTCAAAAAAACTCTTCCAAGAGCTATATCATAAATAGTGTCTCATCCAGCTAGCCAAGTTTTTGAACGAGTAGATTTCTAAGTTTTAGTCAGTGGGCAGTAATTTTCAGCATGAGATAGTCATTCTCCTTATTTCTATGACTAGTTGGAAAGTCACCACAAAGACCAAGAGAATCAACAACTTATACGAATATTACCATCCAAGAACCTTCACTGGATAAGATAGTAGAAGGCTTCACCCAATTCAGTAAATGCAACAAAATAAGTGAGGGTAATACAGAATAATAAATTTCTGGACAAAAGAAAGGCGCACACACTAGTTTATTATTTCATTTTTTTAGCATGACTAGTTTACCAACAATGAATAGTCACAATTTCAATTTTCATCCAGGAAAAACAACAATCAATTGGAAAAATAATTTCCAGAATAGGGAGTGGCTTCACTTTCTACTTTTCCCTTTTATCTTTTCTTGTAGCGTTTGAAATTGGACTTTGATTCACGGTTGAATACCCGAAACCTTTTAAATATACAAGTATTGAGATGTTTAGTCATCTAGAATTTTTTCCGTGATGTTTTAAATAACAAAAATATTTTCTTTCGCATGTACAAAGTCTTGGAGGCAAAAGTACTCAAAATAAGCCAAACGGACTTTTCCCCGCAGCCAGAATAGGCCTGATGAGGCATTGAAGCAACTTTCCTATTTAAGGTACTACAGTGCAAAACTTAGAAAATCCAGAACTTAGGTACAGTGCCAGATATTGATCCTTTCCTGAAAAACCAGGTTCACTACCTCCAGTAGATCCAACAAATCGGGTTCACCCTGACCATGACTACCAGTTAGATGGGTGTTGCTTTGCTCTTATGATTGAAGACATTAGGAATTCACAAAGCATCAGGTCATGAATTCTTCACGGCATCCACCTACAACCGTGTCACAAATCTTCTAAAAATGTCGAGTAGGAGCCCCATTAGGCAGTTAGCCGTGATGCCAACTGGTGATGTATGTTAACTATGGATGAGTATATTTCTAGACTTCTTGAATTACCCAAGTTGACTTTCCTAAATTCTATCAACACCCATTTGCTATACCCGGAATCAACCATCCCCAAGTCAACACAAATCCCCGGGGGTACATCATTCCTCTCTCCAGTTCGAATGAATGAGACACAAACGGAGACGTCGTTAAACAAAAATGAAATCAACAGAAACCTTCGTGATATATGTTAACTATGGATGAGCGTATTTCTAGACTTCTCGAATTACCCACGTTGACTAACCTAAATCCAATCAACACCCATTTGCTATACCTGGAATCTACCATCCCCAAGTGAACACAACAGATGAACCACTCTAATCACCGGCTTTAAAACCTGAGTGTTACGACCATGATCGAGAGCAGATAGAACGATAACTTGCACCCATTGCTGAAAAAGCCGAGACCCATCATTCCAAATGCGCGAACAAATCGAAAACGAGCGGGAAAACAGAAACAAAAGCGGGACTCCCTGGAGATGGGTACAGGAGAATGGCTTACGACGATGATATCGCGGTCGCACCAGGGGATCAGGTCGTCGCCCTTGAAGAAGCCGCCCACCGAATCGAAGAACCGCCCGATTTTCGCTTCCATTTCCCGAATTCCCTCAGCGAACGACACGAACCGGAATGCGCAAAGCAAACGACGCCCCACGGCGATGCAGAACGGATAGAGAGAGAGAGCGAGAGGGGCTGGGTGGGTTTTAGCTTTCGGATTTTCCTTGGAGAGGAAGGGAGGCCATTGGTAAGGAAAATGAGAGAGTGACGTGGCGTTACGTCGTTTCGCGGGCCAAGGCTGAGCCCGGACCGGACCGGGCCGGCTCAAGATCCAGGCATGTCGTGGTTTGTCGGGTGTCGGGGGGCGAGCAACTAGGCCGGTTCAACCTGGGAACCGAACCGAACCGAACAGGCCTTAACCGACCTGTCCCGAGCCATTTCACATTAGGACAGATTCGGTTTTCGAGTAAAGAAATTTGGGGACCGGACCTGTTATATCCTTGCAACTGACGGTTCTACCAGGCTGGTTCTCGGACATAACAAATTTCGAATCGATTTCGGAGCCAATTCATGTGTGAAATCGGTTTTGATTCGTTTCATAACCAAAACTAAATCTGTTATGCTTAAGCAGTTTTCTACTTTGGTATGTTGAAGTGCTTTATTTTGGTCTTTTATTATATAGGAAATTTTGACATTGCAAGTACAAAAATATATGCTTAATTAAAAAAAAAGGAAGAAGAAGACAGAAAACAAGAAAAAAAAAAAAGAAGTACGCCGATTCTTGGATCGACCTTGGAATTGGCTGGTTCGGTTCTAAGCTCGACCTATTTGGGTTCCTTATTCCAAAAAATCGAAACCAACTCCAACATGATAGCCTAGTCTCTTCCACCACCTCCGGCCACCATCTCCCCATCTTGCGACAGAGCTCACCTCTCTCTCTCTCTCTCTCTTTTGGTATTCCTCTCGCCACAACGTGGCGTCGAGCTCCCCCCTGCGCGGAGGCGTTGCATCTAGATCGAGAGGTGACGCCTTTCGGATCTAGAGAACCGACCTTCACGGCCATGGACGTGAGCTTTTTGAAGCTAGGATCGGTGGCCATGGTTAGGACGTTTTAATTGGGAGGTCTTTTCGGAGGGACGAGGAAATTTAGAATCAAGCAAGGGTAATTTAGTTAGAAGAAGTGCCAGATTAGTGAATAGTTCGAAGATGTAAACTAGTGTCAGGTTCAATCTATATTTTTGTCGCGATACCGTATCCCATTTCGAAGCATCGAGATTTTGCGAGCCAAAAAAAAGTACTGGAATTTTATGCACGGATCCCATATGTGAAAAGGCCTTTTTTCAAAAAAAAAAAAAAAAGAACACCGACTTTCAAAAAAACGTGGCTTGAAAAAAAACGTGAACTCGAAAATTTCGCTTTTTATTTTATTTATTAATAAAAAAAGTATAATATGTCACTATAAAACGAAAAATCAATTGAAATTCCAGTTATTTTTAGGGGTAATCGGTTCCCGGTCGGGACTACCGGTCTGGTCCGATTCCGGTCGGGTCTAATGGAACCGATCACTTAAGGTTTAGTTTATATTTTACTAATTTTTGTCAATGAATTTATGTCATTGAAGTTTACTTATGGTTTAATTCGCATTTTATGGGTCTAATGGAACCGATTCTGGTTGGTCCGGTTTGGTCCAGTTCCCCCTTGAAACCGGGAACCGGACACCGAACCGGACCGCATGGACATTGATTCCACTTTTAGGAACCGAGAACCGGACCGACACTCCCGAAATTTAGACCGAACCGGTTTGGTCCATTTTGCACAACCCTAGTTATTTCCGCGGAGCAATATTCAAGTAGAAGTCAATCATGTGTCTCAAATGCCATTAGGTCTTTCAAATACAATAAAAATCTCTCGAAAACCTTTTTTTTCTGATATTTCATCTTAAACAACGTGTGACATTAATTAAGGAAACAAGTTTCTAACATAGAATACAGATAAGGGTGATCCCATGATGTTTCCTTTCGCGAGATTTTTGAAACTATTGCTTGGATTGGCATATCTACATCGACCTAACTAGGGAAGTAAGTTAAAGTCTCTCCTCCAACACCTCTGTACCATTGTCGGTTTCCTTCTCTTGATAGCCCTCCTTGCTCCGAGCACGCACCCATTGGAAAGTTTGTCGCCGCCCGCCGCAATGCCGGAGTCCCTGGACGACTGGAGAGAGTTCTTCCGAAGGACGGATGCCGACGTCTTCGAACTCATCGACAGTGCCATTGCGGTAGCCGCCCTTGATCGCCCGGATGATTTTCAGTTGCGGAGAGTCCGCATCATGGAAAGTCTGTACTCGGGCGAGACGGGGCGGCACGCGGCGGGCAATCAGGTCGGGTCGTGCGATGCCCCGAGTAAGGAAAGCAAGGCGGGTGGCGACGGTAGGGGCGACGTGGAGCAAGACGTGGTGGACATGGACAAGGAAAGCTGCTGCAGCTTTGGAGAGGCCGAGGCATCCGCTGGTGAGGTGGACGAGCAGTCTCAAGTCGTCGGCGAAGTCCTGAGGATCAAGCAGGTCTTGGACAACAGTCGACACGAGGTCAATAGCCTCTATAACTCCGAATCAGCACCATCTTTTTGCATGATCATCCGTTCTTACTGATTTCTTGTCCGTTCTTCGTCATCGATTTCGAATATACATAAATTTTCGACGACAGGTCGCGCGCATGTAGACTGATAACGGGTCACTGCCATATTGATCATTGAGAATCTGAGAGCACGCGTAATCTTAACTTGTTTTGTTTCTCGTTACGACAGTCCGCTTTGGCGCTGTGCGAATCACTGCGAAGACTCTGGTCGATGGCTATTACTCTGGATATCTTGGAGGTTTGAGTAGACTCTTTCGTATAGAGTTCCTCAAGCACATTGCCAAATAGGCTTTCGAGTATCTTGCTTGTGATCTGTTGCACGATTTCGCTTGTTGACTGTTCAGCACTAAAATTCTGACCATCTGCAGAGGACTAAGATCGGGATAAGTGTCAACAGTCTCCGTAGAAACTGCGGATCGAAGCAGATTGCTCAGCTTGCGGACAGCATCACAGTGTATGGTGTTCCTTATCATTCTCATCCCGCGTGCAAGACCGAATTAGCTTTCGAAAAAGACGACATTTATATTGCTGTCACACGGAGAAATGAAACAAATCGCTCTCGCTGACTGCTAATCAAGCACATCTTTTCCATTGCTGAACATCAGAGATCTTTAGAGTCAGTTTGCACCGATAATCGATGATCATTTCTCGGCAACTGTAGATGATTTGGCCCGGTTCTCGGATTATCCGAGATAGAAACACCCATGTTTTGCATACCAAATACTCGGTTGATAGTATAGGCATAGATGCTTTAGCAACTTCATTTTATTTGAGTTTTAAGAGCTTGGATTCTCTTATAGTAGATCCAATTCGATCGTCCTACTGGACAAGAAACAGATATCAACTCACTTCTTGATTCTTTTCATTGCAGACAATGGAAGGCCATGGTGGATGGTGATGGAAGTAAGCAGTCTCTTAGAGCACATGGCTTTTTAGGTCTGCTGTTGCTTGCTATGCCTTAACTGTGAGCTGAACTTTTCTGTGCAGATCCTTGGAAAATTAGGGAAACGAACTCTGCGATCCAGAAACCGAAGCAGCAGCAGCTAGGGGTTGTGAAGCCCGGCAGATCCTCGCAAACTGGCTCGAGGACCGCCCCTTCTGACGAGATTGCGGCTGAGAAGTTTGATAAGGAAAGAAAGGCTCGACCGGAAAAGCCGTACGAAGTCGCCATGCACAACAGACAACTCACCAGCCAAAAGGATGTAAGTAGGAACGGAAGTTTCTGAGTTTTTGGGTTATCCTCGCAGCAAGAAACTAACTATATGTCTCTGTTCACTCGGAAGCTCAAGTACTTGCAAGAGGTTGCAATGGAAATCAAATCCGAAGCCGCCAAGAGGAGGACCCAAGAACGATATCCGCAAGAAGGAAATGGTTAGTGACTCCAGCAAATAAATCTTGCGATTACACTGCTTATTTAGCAGTTGTTAATTTACTATCATCCTTCAGCAAGGATTAGTTTAGTCTTCATTATCCAGAAAAGAAACAGGTACCTAGCCCCCGCACCTGTTTTGTTCACGAAGAAATAAGAGTTTTGCTTGGAAAAGGTGTATCGTTTTGGCAAATGGTTGAACACGGCTATGCAGAATATTGTCTAGGGATTAATGGTTACTACAAATGGAGGATTTAAAGGTTTTCCATGTACTCTTGAATCTTTCGGAATCACGCAATAAGTCTGGTGTTTTCCTGGACAGCTAAGAAGCAGCAGGCCATACAAGTTTCGGACTCACCCCATCTCCCGAAGCAGGTGGCGAGCGATAAGGCTCAATGCTCGAGCACCGAAAAATCTCATAAGCAGCGGACGAAGGGAGAGCGCTAAATCCCATGGTTGTGAAGAACAATCTTCCGAGGGCTTCTCCATTCTCTTCTCGATCGGTGGAAATTTTGGTAAAATCTGCAGAGACAGCAATCTTATTCCAGATGGTATTGACTCTACATTCTGAAATTCAGATGACTGATGAGAGTTGCATGTGGTTATCCTCTTTATCAGCTGAAACATGTTGGATGTGTAACAGTTACCTCGTAAGTCATGAGGGTACAATGATCTGTTTGCTAGTAGGAAGTCGAAACTAGCTATGAGTCACTGTTAATTTATTTCCTACAGCCTTATGAATGTTGCTACAGGATTTATACATGCTAAGGAGGGAACCGCGTCCACAAATCCTGCAGATGCATACAGAGACCACATTTTGGATTTAAAATCGAACTCCGGATGATACCATCTCTGCTTGCTCCACAATCTACTCACTTAGGAAGGAGTCAATCAGAATCTAGGATCACACACATTGTCACTTTGATTACCACAGCATAAAGATATTCAATTATATGCATTTGCCGCCCACAAAGATAAACCTCAAAAATTCAAAGGTATCATCTGTCAGACATACACAGCTAAGACCAAAACACTTCATGCGCCTACACCACGACAATGTTAAGTCTGTTACAGTATAGATGGGGGGGGATCAATAGCCACCGGAAATCCTATACATATAGTCAATGGTTAAAATTTTCATCACCAGCGATTTGGTGTTAAAAGGAGAATCTCCCAACTTCCTCATCTTCGTCCTCATCTATTACATCTTCATCCTCCTCGCTGAATCTCTCAAAACGATCTACATCTTCCTCCTCTTCATCTTCATGTTCCTCATCCATCAAATCCTTGTTCTTTTCTTCTTTATCCTTCAACCCCGTGCTCAAAACCACAGTTTCTCCCCCAGTTTTCTCCATATCCTTCCGCAGCTTTTCCATGTTCTGTCTCCGGCGTTCTTCTTCCAAGCGCTGTTTCTCTGCTCGCCTCTTGTCAAGTTCAGCCCTGCAGAAATAGATATAAATGGTCATACTGGCAAGCATATCAAGGTAAGCAACAAAAAACTGAAAGTTAGTAGTAAAGATCATACTTGTAGTTCTCCATGTACTCCTCAGCACTAGCCTCAATGGTTTTAAAGAACTCAGCCATACCAGCACCAGAAATAGCAGAAACTCCAACTGATTTCAAGTTCTTATAGAACTCATCCAGCACAAGTGAAAGACTTCGGGTTAATGTAGATGTATACGAGTGATCTGAATCCAGCGCCGTTTGAAATACCTCAAAATCTTCCATCCACTGCAACACCAAAAAAGGATTTGCATTCTTTACTACAGCTGCTTGTGTTCATTGAAAAGGGAAAAAAAGATTATACTCATACGCCATTTCTTATTCCAAATTCTTCACAATTAAAATCTAGAATCTTATGAACTATAAGATATGCAGTGTACTTTACAGTGGACATCTATGATCACACGTAGCAAGGGTACCCAATACAGAAGAAGACAAAATTGGCACAACCCTGTAATTCAAAACTTCGTAAATATGAAAAATTTGGAACAGAGGGGCGACATTAATTGTTCCTATCTCTTCCTAAAAATTTTCCTCCTAGTAAATTCATTATTTACAGATGTAACTTGGTTTCTTTCACGTTTTCTGATTTCAGTTCCCTAACTATTCGGGGAATCCAAGTTTTTCAACCCCGGATCATTTCACAGCTTAAGTAAAAATATAATATGTGATTCCAATCTGATGCACATAACCAGAAACATCTCGTCATCCATTTTGATAGTACTTTGCCACTCAAATCCCAGTAGGGTAGATGGCTCCAATAAACAGCAATAAAAGAAACTTAATAGCCCCACATTTCAGGGTAAGATATGAACAAAGTCGTGCACGCAATCAAGCAATTGAACAACGAATAAACAATTAGAGAGGCATTTATGCAAGTAAGGTAGTTTCCAGCTCAAAGTCTAATATATTAGAGGAAAGAAGCACAAGGAACCTACCTCCAAAGCAAATTGGTGTTGAGCCACATCAGTCTTATTAAATGCCAACACCAAAGGCAACCTGGTTTTGTAGAGGATACTACAAGCATAGAGCATGTTGCTCATAAAAGTAACAGGGCTTTCTGATCGAGGTGTGTCAACCACATAAGTAATAACAGTAGGAAAGGTGGAAGCAAATGCTTCTGTTATAATAGCTCCGGAAGCGGACCACGTGAAAATCTCAATTTGACCTGGAGTGTCCACCAGAACATAATCAAGCTGATCTGCTCGCCTCTCAATAACCGATACAACCTGATATTTGGATAAAGAAGACACAAGATCACTATAAGTAGAAAGAAAAATTGGAAAACCAAACCAGCGAGCAATAACAGCAAACCAATATAATACAACTAATGGAAAGTCTTACAAAGCAAACACAGTTTACAATTACTCATTTCCTAAGTTTTACCTCATCAAACTTTGTGGCAAACAGGTTAAGTGATGTCAGAATGCCACCATTGGGCCCAAGATTGAACTGCTTCATCACTTCTTTATACTTCACAGTGTCTCTTATATCGATATTGGCACCAAATGGGAGGGTCATTACTGCAGGATCAAGGTTAATGACATAACCCCGGAGATTTGAAGCTTGCGTGTGGCAAACAAGCCTGTGCATAAATGTCGTTTTTCCGCTGCCTACACAATTTATATCATAAATCAGGGTACTTGCCAGAAACAAAAAAAGCGAATTTACAATTTCATTGACTTCCAGCAGCCGACGCCAAACAAACTAACCTGCCATGCCGATAACAATGATGATGACAGGCTTTCTCTTGAATGGCATCCCCAGCTGCCCGGATGACGACTCCACCATGTTCAACTTCTCCATCGACTGATTAAGTTCCTCTTTCTCTTTCCCCTTTACCTTCAAACAGCATCGAAAGTAACAAGGACCCATTAAGCCGAAGAAAACGTATAATCTAACTACTGAGCCAGACGCCCGAAAGTCTTGCGGATACGCAACTTACAAAAACTAGTGCATGTAAAGAACAACAACTCGTAAAGAACAATGCTTGCTCCTTTATTTGCGGGGCCAAACTATTCACGGTAACTTTGAAAATCACAACTACACAACAAAAGGAGCGGAGACGAATCGCCTGTACCTCCGCGCCCGAAGAGTCGAGGGTGTCCATCGGCACGGACGCGCCTTCTTCGGAGGACTTGACATCCATATCCTGAGCACCGGAATCAACATCCATTATCCGAAAAACCGCTGCCGCCGCCGCCCGACCTAGCTTCCGGCAATCTCAAATGATCAAAAACCAAAAAACGAACACCCCTCGGGGTCATCGCAAGCGCTCGTAGAACCTACCGGAATCAGCAAACCCCCGACTGCTAATCGAAAAACCCTAAACACATCGTCCCTTCAGCTTCAGGGCGACGACGTACCAGGAGGCGGAAACCACCGAACGACGAGGCGATTTTCGTCGACCTCGCTCCCGCCGGAACGCGCACGGCGAAGCTGAGGGAGAAGGAGGGAGCGGGTCAAGCTTTAGTCGAACCGTTTCCGCGCCGGAATCCGCAGCTCCGCCTTCGAGCGAGAGGGTTTTGGCGAACGTGCTTCGTTTTCGCGAGGGTTCTACTGAGCGTCGAAGACGAAGAGTAAAGAAAGCCCTTTTATGTCCCCCTCGCGGCGACGGTCGTATAGCCCGAAAAGCCCGACCGGCCCGCATGTTTTCGGCCCGATTTCTCGAAAAATAAATGATTGAAAAAAAAAGTTTCTTAATTTTATATTATTTATAAAAGTAAATACACGTTAAATATTCTTGTTAGATATAAATTATTATCGATGATATAAACATATCTATTTGGCTTGATTATATGGAATGACATAAACTATCATTTTCGAAAAAATTATTTTTTAAATTATTCATTTTTTTTTTAGATGAATGAACATAAATGGACATCTGATTGACTGTCTTGAATTGCTAGGAGAGGGCCAACAGAAGTGGCTCTAAATCATTTTTAAAGGGGTTGTTGCGAATGTAACCTTTTTTCTTTTCTCTTTCAAATTCTGATGATTCTGAAGTAGTGTAATTTGCTTCTTCTTCTTTCTTTATGTTTCACGTACACTTTACTTTCCATAAGAAGCCATTATTGACGTGTCGATGCTTGTATGGTTGGAAGCTAGTAAAAATCATTACTTTCCCAATTTATTGGTGTAATCACATTTCATACGCAAAACATATTCGATTCAAAACGATTATGAGTTATCTTATAAAATAAAGAAAACAGAATACCCAAATTAGGAATTTCATTTCTCTTGTCAAAAATAGGTTATATTGCTTGGAGAAAATTCTAAATTCTTGTCATTGCAACTCGTACCATCAAAATATTGAGATTTCTTTGTAGATTGGTTTTTCGGTTCGCATGGAAAGTCGAGACTTCCTGAGTGCAAGTGAAGGTACAATCAAGAAAGTGACCCCGAAGCATCGACTGAACGTCCATAGGGTCCAATTTAAGAAACTCTTGTCAATACCAGTATCCTCACCTTCCAGCTCGTCTTTTTTAAGTGAAATCCCGACTTATAGATATTTGACTAATCTCATAAATCAGGTAAGACCCGAGTGAAAGAATATTTATGTATATCTCTTGAAAGAGCTGTCAACACTCGATTGTATCTAAAATCGAGCATGTATTCCGTGTCCAATTCATACAGACAAAGCCCGTTTTCTTAATCGCTAAGACAAACCGAACTCGCCTCACCGAACTCGAGCACAATTCAAGATGTTTCCTAAATGGCATAAGCAAAAGTGCTGGAAACCCAAAACAAAGCTGTTCGAATCAGAGCAAATGACCATGTATACCGATTCCGATCACTCGAAAGCAGATCATGCAGATTTGTCAAGATACACAGCTTAAATTCTGCTGCACTGGTGCTACAGAGATGAGCACAAAAATGGCCTTTTCTATCCTAATCCATGGACGCATTTCCCACCTTGCCGATCTTGAGGAAGACCGGGAACTTGACGACCTTCTCCTCCTCGCCTTCCTCGCTCCAGGCCCTCTCGTACCTCTCGACGGCGTCGCCGCCCAGAAGCTCCACGCCCTCCTCCTTCGCCTTCAGGTAGGGCGACGTCGACCTTACGAAGGTGAGAAACTCGTCCAACCCCATGGCTCTCTCCGCCACGAACCGGACCGGGCCCGTGTCCTCCATCCCATCCACCGGCTCGAACGGGAATTCCATGTCCCTGTACTCGTCGATCACCAACTTATGGGTCGGGCTCCAGTACGGGTTCAAGTCCATCGAGTAGAACTCCTCGTAGATAGAATCGACCGGGCCCGTGACTCTCGGCATCGTGTAGCCCCACGTGGCGATCACGCCGTGCGGCTTCTTGAGCAGGTGCTTCACTTGCCGGTAGAAATTGGGCCGGTCGAACCAGTGGAGGGCCATCGCGACGGTCACCAAGTCGACGCTCGATTCCGCGGAGACCTTCTGAAGTTCGGACCTCGACACGGCCGGAGAAGTGAGCTCGTAGCGGACGTTAGGGAGTTTTGGCGCGAGCTCAAGCTGCTCCGGACTCACATCCGTGGCTACGACATTCCCGTAGATTTCTGCAAGCTGAAATTAACATGCTTCACTAGTGACTTCAAAGGGGATCAAACAGCAACCGCGAATCATAGAGCGATAGTGAAGTAGACTCAATTAACCGCGAGGAACTCACGGATCGGGCGGCCTGGCCGCTTCCCGTGCCGGCGTCCCAGGCGAGGTCGTGAGACGGCGTTTTGGACGCGATGAACTGGAAGAGCTCCGGCGGGTAGCTCGGCCGACCATTGGCGTATCGCCGGGCCTGCTTCCCGAACAACTCGGCCATGCCTCTCTCGAACAGATGGAAGGAAACGAGATGGAGTTTAACCCGTTTCAACTGCGTGCTCGACTCCTTAATTATACGAGCGAGTGGTCCATCTCTGAAAGCAACAGCATCGTGTCAAATTCGTCCACTACTACGTCGGTGTCACATGTTCTTTGTCCTAGACCTTGAACTGCAAAAGCGAAATTGGAACGGCATCTGTTCCAGATTTGCTTTTGATTGATGGTCTGTGGTCAAATTAGATGTTTAATAATCAATTTGATCAAAGTCCAATTAATTATCATTGAGATAGAACGTATGCCTCATATGGGTACTCGCCAGACGAAGGTTTCGAGCTTCGCATTATTTAAATTTGCACGCTAAATTTGTAAAGTAAATCGATCTTAGTGTATGTCGAGCGATCATTGTCATGCGTTGCCCACCCTTCCGATCTTGAGAAAAACCGGGAACTTGACGGTCTTCTGGTCCTCGCCGTCCTCGGTCCAAGCCCGCTCGAACCTCTCGACCACGTCGCCGTTCAGAAGCTCCACGCCCTTCTCCTTCGCCGTCTGGTACGCCGACCACGACCTTATGTACGTGAAGAAATCCTCCACCCCCATGTTCCTCTCCGTCACGAACCGGACCGGCCCCGTGTCCTCCATCCCCTCGACCGGCTCGAACGGGAAATCGACGCCCCTGTACTCGCCGTCCACCAGCTTGCGTGCCGGGTCCCAGTACGGGTTCGAGTCCGCCGCGTAAAACCGGCGGAACACCGAGTCGAACGGGCCGTCGACCTCCGGGATCGTGTAGCACCACGCGGCGATCACGCCGTGGGGCTTCTTGAGGACGTGCTTCACCTGCCGGTAGAAATTGGGGAGGTCGAACCAGTGGAGGGCTTGCGCGACGGTCACGAGGTCGACGCTGGACCGGGCCGAGACCTTCTGATCCAGCTCGGCCATCGACGGGACCGGGGAAGTGAGCACGTAACGGACATTGGGGAGCTTCGGGGCCAACTCGAGCTGCTTCGGGCTCGTGTCCGTGGCCACGACACCGCCGTAGATCTCCGCAAGCTGCAAATCAAAACACCAACTTCCCTATTGGGGTCCAACGCGGGCAAATCGAAAAAGGCATACGGAATCGAGTAGCTCGCGAAAACTCACGGATTGGGCGGCTTGGCCGCTTCCCGTGCCGACGTCCCACGCGAGGTCGCGGGCGGGCGTCTTGGAGGCGATGAACCGGAAGAGCTGCGGCGGATAGCTCGGGCGGGCCAAGGCGTATTGCTGGGCTTGCTTCACGAACAGCTCTGCCATCTCTATCTCTCTCTCTGTAGCAATTAGCAAGTGTTTTGCTGTGCAGATTTGGTAATGAGAAGCTGTTCAACCACTGCACCTCGCAGATATAGGGGGGGAGACCGCTTGCGATGAAGCATCTTGCAGGCTTCCTTCTGCCGGGTCGTTTGTCATCTCCTCTGAATTAGTCCTCAATTTGAGTTTGAGTTGGCCAAAAAGGATACCTTAATGAAGGTTTTGTTCGAATGCTCTACGAATTGCTGATTCTCTGAAATTAATTTTTTCAAACTAACTTTTTTATTAAATTAATCTTGTAATTTACTTGAATTCTTTCAATAGAAAATTCCCGAAATTTTCGCGAAACTTAAACATAAACACGTGATACCAAAATATCATAGTGTTTGGCGATGTCTTTTGGACTGGATAAGCCCGAATATACCTGGATAAAATATCAGATAAGAAATCTGGATTATGAGGTGGGATAGACCCAGATTGGAGAAAAAAGCACGAATAAAACAATAACAATTTCCTTTCAACGATAGAGTGATGGAGTTTGGCTTCGCCAACCACCACGCAAGGACCGCCGCCACAACAGCCTATCACTCCTGACCACCGTGCAATCATCATCGTCTCCGACCAACATCGATCGTCATTGCCGTCTAGCCGAACATGGGAAAGGATTGTTTACAATTCGGAGGATATTTGAGAAATTTTTAATCACACCTTATCTTATCATATCCCAATCCAAATCCGGGTGACCAACTTATAAGTAATTTGACGTGAGAATGGCAGAGTGTTTAAATAAGCCAGTCACGGGTAGAACTCGTTTAAATGCTTGATGTTATGACTGTTGCATTATGCGATGAATACATTCCAGTAAGAAGCCCGAAAATCAATCTACAAATTTTGTACACTGTGATTTATTGCAAGATAGGATTTTGTTACAAGCGCTCCAAAGACACTTAAAAAGCAGCTAAGTAAGAAACTTTGCATTTTCCGATTCATTAACTGTCTCATGTTACGCGCGACCAGTGCTTTGAAAGTTGAGTTCTTCCTTGTATGCTTTGACTAGTATATTGGAGAGAGACCCTACTTAATATGGTTCACCTCGTTGTACTTTAGTGTGATTTACTAATGCCCAAGGACCTTTTTGTGTTTTTGGGTCACCAAAGTGGTTGGCCTAGTGGTAAAGGGCCACGGGGTTTCCGTGAATTCGACTTGCATCATCTCAATGCAACACGCCTTTTGTAGATAAACTTCCTAGCATCTCGGTACTTATGACTCGATCTGACTATTCTGCATCGACACGTGACTCTTGTAACGACGCTCAGACGGGATCGCTAGCGTCGACCGGTTGCCTCCCGACTAGGGGTGTGCAAAAAATCCAGGACCGCCCAGGACCGGACCGGAACCGGTGGTTCCGAAGGGGACCGATCCGGTTCCCGATTCCAATTTTTTGGAACCGGTGGGTATCGGTCCGGTTCTCGGTTCCCGGTGTGGAACTGCCCACCCGCCCACCCGGACCAGACCGGTAATATAATAATAATATATTTATTTTTTAAAATTTTAATTAAAAAAATCTGACCAAAAAAAGAATTAAAAGAAAGGAAAACGTAACTAGACACTCATAACTCTCTACTCTATTATTTCTGGACACTCATTTGATGGGTACCCACTTGATTTATGGATGATGTGGTTAATAGAACCGATCATAGTATAGGAATTGTATGGAAAGTTATGTTCTTTTCTTTTTGTTCCGTTGATCTAATGTTGGTCCACATATTTTTTTTTTATTTGTCCAGGAAAACTTGGTGGGACCGGTTCCATAGACCCGCCCAGAAACCGGACCGAACCGGCGGTCCGGTTCCCGGACGGATCCATGGAACCGACGGGCGATCTTCGATCCCAAAATTGAGGATCAACACTGTGCGAATTGATCCTAGAATTAGGGGGTGGACCGGCCCAATTCGGATAATGCTCAGCCCTGCTCCCGACCCATTCTTTAATAATGGAAACGGGGAGTGGTCAACTAAGAAGTGCAGGCAGAGAGCGTGCACGCCAAGCCGCTGCTCCCTTTTTTACGGGGCTTTTTTTTAATCCTATTGGTTCGCTTAGCCAGGTGATGTTCTATAGGATGGGAAGTCACATCATAGGTGACGTGGTATGAAAGTTACTGATTCTTGCACAAATTGAGTTTGTCGTCCACATTATTTTGTTCCTCATCTTTTATGGGTTAGGTAAGTGCACGGTTGTCGCACGGCTGCTGAAGTCGTCTCCCCCCATTTGGGAGGAAATTGCATGCCCGTGTACTTAATAATATGATAAATCTCGCGTAAAATTCAGGATTAATGTTACGAAAAATCTCAAATTAGTATATTCGTGACAAATTTACTCCAAAATAATTTTTTGATAATCAAAAATCCCGAACTGGTACACCTGTGACAAATTTATCACAAACTAATTTTTTAACCACAAAAAATCCCAAATGATACATTTGTGACAAATTTATCCACCGTTAAATTGGATTAATATCACGAAAAATCATAAATTGGTATACCTACGATAAACGAAGGGTAAAACCCTAAGATGGTACACCAGTCAATTGCCATATGTCATCCAACTCAGAAATTTGATAGTAAAATTTAACGGAAACCAACGGAAGGTAAAATTATCACAGGTGTACCGGTTTGGAGTTTTTGGTAATCAAAAAATTAATTTGGGGTAAATTTGTCACAAGCATATTAGTTTAGAGTTTTTTATGATATTAATCCTAAAATGCATGATCAAATTGGTATCATGTTCTCATGAAAGAAAGAATAAGTGAATTCTATATGTCCTTGATTTCAGACGCGTTCAATCAAATTAGGTCGACGAAATTTGAAGAAAAAAAAGAGAGTTGTCGATAACATCAATTTCGCACAAAAAATCTCAGTAACAGTAAAGGGAGCGAAAGAGAAAAAAAGGGACGAAAGGTGGACGGCAAGCCAATAAATACACTCACGATCTGGAAAGACCACCTCACAATGTCACGTCTCTAAAATTAGAGAACTCCGGTCTATTAAAGTAAGTATAAATAGCCTAGAATCGACCATTTGCGGTAAGAAGCATTTGAGATATAGATTTAACCATTACTCCGTTAATTTCATGCGGGTGTATGCGAGAGATTGGACAGAGTCATTACATCGCACGGGAAGAAACAGGTGCGCGATCATACCTTGCGCAAAGCGAGGCAAGATAGAATAAGGGTCGATCATACACACTCATGAGGATTCAAGAGATCGAGATCGAAAGAGAGCGAGCGAGAGAGATAGGTGCAAATTCATCGACATAATTTGACAACAATCACCATCTCTCCTTTCTTCTTGATACGAAGGAAGGGTGACGATTTGGGCCCAGAGCAGGAAGGCTAAGCTTCAGCCCAGCCCATCAAAACCGGATGTCCAATGTCCACGAAGCTCGGCCCGGTGCAAGTCACCCCCCGCCGCCGCCGCCTTCTTCTCGAACAAAGCCCGCTCCAAACGGTGGCCGCTCACGCCCGTCAGCCCCCCTCTCGCAGTTCGACCCGGGCGAGTACCCCTCTGTTTCGGGAGCCGCAGAGCCGCGCGGGAGACGATGGAGATGATGGCGGCGCCGCCGGTACCGGCCGAGACGTACAAGCTCGGGTTCATCGGGGCCGGCAAGATGGCGGAGTCCATCGCCAGGGGGGTGGTCAAGTCGGGCGTCTTGCCTCCGTCCAGGATCCGCACCGCCGCCCACACCAACCAGAGCCGGCGCGCCGCCTTCGAGTCCTTCGGCGTCCAAGTCCTCTCCGACAATCAAGCTGTTGCGTACCCTCTCTCTGTCTCTCTCTCTGTCTCTGTCTCTGTTTCTCTCGCTCGTGGGAAGGAGTAATGGAAATGCGAAAAATCGGATCTTCGGACCAGCTGATGATAATGTAGTCGATGTAATTAGCGGCAAGTTTCGGTTTTTAAGGGAGATTGGTGTGAAAGTGCGAGCTTTACGTTTGCCATGACATATATTTGCTGCCCCGGTTCTGCCTCGGCGCGTTATGATTACAGGGTTTAGGTTAGTTACGGGAACGACATTGCCGTTCAATACTGAACAGCTCAAATCTTTTATAAGTGTACGAGCATTCGCTGTCCTAGCTTTGCAATGGGGTTTTGTATTTGCTCACGACGATATTCGGGCTGCTGCTTCGTCCTTTAGTTGCCAGCATTGGTCAGTGTAAGTTAATTGGGTGGAAAATGACAATTTTTACGTGTCTTGTCGGCTCGAACAAGTTCTCGAGCAAATCCACTTTCTTGCCCAGGTCTTTCGGACGGAGAAATCTCTTCTTCTCCATAAAAAGAGAGCGAGCAAGTTGGTTGAGTTATTGTATAACTCGCAGTTCAGCAGACCTACCAGTTTTCCTTTTCTTCTTTGTGGATGTGAGACATGAGTGGACGTACATTTGCAAGTTATTCTACCTCCTGGAGTTTCTTGATGAGTTGAATCTTGATAAGCTTGTTCCCCTTTACCCTCTCCTTCTAGATAAGAGAAACTCAAATTTTGTGAAAGCAGGTAGTTGAAGACAGTGATGTGGTCATCTTCTCAGTGAAACCCCAAGTTGGTATATAGCACTTAAACTTGTACTCTGTTGCTAGTTTGCTCCTTTGCTTGTCTTTTCATTTTCACAAATTTCAATAATGGGATGAAAGCACGTGTTTGGTCAATATGACCATAAGCCACCAATGTTCTTTAGCTTTGAGATGGTAGCAGCCAAACATGTAACATGTGATTTCACAACATGTTAGTTCATCTCAGTTTTCACCAGATTTTGGATGAATTGGCCTTCACTTTTCTTTATCATAACTTTTGCAGTGATGATTGCATGCTTTTCTATGACATATTCTCACCATAAAGGGATGATTAAATTCTGTTGATGACCGTCAATGGTCCGCAGAAATTAAGGATGACGATTTTCTTCTGTATTTTTACTAAGTGATGATAAAATCTGGAGGGGGATGTTTCAATTGATATTTGATTTCAAAGGTAGAATGGATTTTGGTTCTAGAGGTCATGCATCTTCCTCATTGCTGAAAATGTTACTTCTAGTAGAAATTATTTGGGATATTTTCAAATTAACTTTCGTTGTTCTTTCTCTAGTTAAAGGTGTTGTCTCCCAGTTGAGGCCACTACTATCAAAGAAGCAGCTTTTGGTCTCAGTAGTTGCCGGAGTAAAATTGAAGGATTTACAGGTATTTGCCCCCACTGTCTTTTTTATCAGCACCATGTTTTTGGTTCTTGTCTTAAGTTTCATGGTATGGGAATGTCTTTTACAATGCTAACGAGGATTAGAGGCTCTTACACAATTCACATCATTAAATCCATGAAAACTGCATCTCTGCCATCCTTATTTCCTCCACTACCATTTTTTTTCATTCTATAATATGACTTTCTTGGTTTTAAAGAAGAAATTGGAATTACGTTACTTCAATTTGTTATATTCATTCAATATGTTGTCCAGGGGTCAATTTCTCATATAAGCAATCTAATTTATGTCCTTTGGAGCCAATTTTGTGAATTTAGGCGGTGCAACATTGACCATGGATTAACATTTTTTTTGTCGGTAATCTTGATTTATATTTAACAATGCTTAGGAATACCTCAATAATGGGATGGGGTTTTCAGTGTAAAATTCTGTGCGGCTTCTTAAGTAGAGTATAAAAATGATGCTAGGTAAAGAAACAAATGGTTCAGGTATGTTATGTTAATGTTTGTAGTTCTCCAGATGGACAGCCGATAGTTGGGATGGTAAACTTTTTCTAATGAAACTTTGACTCTTTGAAGAATTCTTATTTAAGGAGCCTTTTCTACTATCTATCATTTTGAATTGAATACCATAGTCGGGGTGTCCGCTGTTAATTCCTATTTCATCTAATTTTTAGAATTGTCCGTTTTTGAACTGTCTAGAGTGAGTATGCTTTTCTTTTTTCTAGGATTGGGCTGGCCATGATCGATTTATCCGTGTGATGCCAAATACTCCTGCTGCTGTTGGGGAGGCTGCATCTGGTAATGTTTATACTAGTTGTTTGCTGATCTTTAACTTGTATGCATGGAAAGCCAATGTTGTTTTGGCCTTTGGACGTCTCATATAGAACTTTGACTTTTTTACCATACATGTCTCTTGGGATGATACATGCTTTCTGTTCTCAGATTGTGTTGCTTCAGCAGAAAATTGAAATTCCTTTTACATTGCAAATTGTTGATTTTCTTCCATCATCTTCTTATCCTGTCCAAGACTTGGTCGCTTCCCTTCAGCTGCAGAGATAAATAAAGCATTGAACCCTCTTGAGTTGATGTTATTAGTTGTTAAGTTCCACAAGCTTGATTTCGTAATATTGAGTTTTAATCCTGAGTATCTGCAATCAATTGTAATAATGTAAAGTGAAGGGCTTCCTTAGTTGAGTTAACGTTGCTGCGCTAAGTTATTTTCAAATTACCATAGTTTATTAATATGAAAATGTGCAAAATAGATGAATATTTGTTTGGATGTTGAGGTTTCAAGTGTCATGAGAATTATTTGGATGCTATCCTCTCATTAATCATCACGAAAGAAGAGGATCAAGTCATCAGGTGTCCATGATTCTTGCGGTGCTAAGATATAATTCATGGCACTGTTGTGATGTTGTCAGGATGGATTACTCTTTCTGTTATCTGTTCTTGTGATACTATGGCAGTATAGTTAATGCAAGTGGAGTTCTGCCCTTTCATTGTATCGCTTCATTATAAAGTGGAGTTTGCTCCGATACCATATGGATTTACATTTACTTATTTTGTTAGTTTAATTTCCAAAGTGATCTTTCAGATTCAGCAATGTTATTATTGACACCTGATTTCATAAGATTGAATTACAATGATATTCTCTATTGCCCTTCATGTTGAATAGTTATGAGTCTGGGAGGAGCAGTAAAAGAAGAGGATGCAGAACTCATTGCTACTTTATTCGGATCTATAGGCAAGATTTGGAAAGCCGATGAAAAATATTTTGATGCAATTACTGGCCTGAGGTATGTGCAATAGCTTTTAAAGCATCGGTTTCCTTATACTTCTGTGAAGGTTTTGTTTAAAATCGTGGTGAGATTTTAGTTCGACTTAGAGTTTTCGTTTCTGTGTATATATGCAGCGGCAGTGGTCCAGCATATATCTTTCTGGCAATAGAAGCTTTGGCTGATGGAGGAGTTGCCGCAGGTCTTCCAAGAGAACTTGCACTGGGTCTAGCTTCGCAAACGGTTGGTCATTGTGCATAAAATCGCTTTTTTGTTTTGTTAACTAGAGATTGTGACACCTGCAGATTTATAGGCAGATGCTCTGATGCAGCCTGTGCTTAGCCTTTGAGGAAGTCCTCAAGAAATCCTCACTGGACCTTCTTTTGAGATGGAATCATCATCCTAATAGATCTTACTTTGTTATTGGCATGAAAAAGAGGATTGACTAATAGAATTGCTTTCTCAAAGGCTTGGGCCTTTTTCCCTGGCCGGGCGGCTTTTTTGTGTTGCACGGCGTGATTACATATTTAATCTTCTCCACTTTCATTAACTAATATTTTTTAAGGGAAACATATAGAAGACTTATGTTTGTGGGTTACACATGTAGAATGCTCTGGCTACTCCAATAATTATAGTTACAGAAAGTGCGGGTCTAATTCCACCCGAGAATAACTTAGTTTACAGCCTTTTGAACTTAGTTTACCAAAGGCCCAGAAGAAAGAGATTCCCTTTTTCAAACACGGGTATCTATCTTCCATTCCCGTCCCTCTCTCTACACCCTTACTTAAGTTTAAAGTCATTTGCAAGTAGTATTCAGTCTAAAAGTGCCACTGCCTCTTTCATCTTCGTATATTTCTTGCTCATCATTTTCTATGGATAGCTTAAATGGACATTCTCAATGGAGATGAATGTTCCACTGAGCTAAAGAACAAGAAAAAAATATCGATATCTCTTTTTGGATAGCAAAATTTGTGGGATGGTACATAATAATGAATTTGGATGAACACAGTGGACATCTAATAGTCCCATTATGCAAACCCAAATTAAAAAAAAAATTAAGCTCTTTACTCATCTAGATTAATGAAGTGAAGAAAGGGTGGTGTACTTTAGGGTTTTGAAACATACTTCTATCACATTTTCATTTTGGTAATTTGATTCATATTTCACAACAGTGCATTACATTCTACTTACCTGAGTTACCTCTACTTCCTCTCTCTACAGTCTTCCTTGCTCTTGGCTCTTAATGTATTCCACAGAAAATTCTTATCCCTTCCATTAACTCATTTTATTTCCACGAAACCCAAATGCAAAGGGTTTCTACATCATTTGACTAGATAGTTAATCTTCCTCTAGCAATTGGAGCTCGGTCAATATGATTGGCAACTATTTGATCAACTTCTTAGTCAATTCATGGATGAGCTTGTGATTGCCATTGGTAGAAATTCGGTTTGGAGATGAGCTGGTTTAAATTGAAGGAGTTTTTGGTCCATTCAACAAAAAGGTTGTGTTTTTAGCTATTTTGGATGTCGAAATAGCCCCATCCTTACAAAAGCCAGAGTGAAGATAGGTTATCATGTCTGTTATTTATACCTTTGCCCCTATACTTATCTAGAGTTCAGTAGCAGTTCATACACTCTGGCAGAAGAGTTGACAGAAGTCACATTAATACTGGATTGTGGACTGCACTAGTTTTATTCCTAACTTAACAACTTTTGCTAGGTTAAATACCTTCATCATTTTAACAAGTCTGCACAATTTCAACTTCAGAAACTTTGCTTGGAGAGATTGCCGTGGTTCCTGTATGAATTGTCTGCTTGGATTATCAGTGGCTTGAACCGGCTTTCATTCATTTTGAAGTTTCAATGTTTTGCTGCTATATTTTCAGGTGTTGGGTGCAGCATCTATGGCCTCCAAAATGGGCAAGCATCCAGGTCAGCTCAAGGATGATGTTGGATCACCAGGGGGTACTACAATTGCTGGTATTCATGAACTGGAAAAGGGTGGATTCCGGGGGATTTTGATGAATGCAGTCATTGCTGCTGCTAAGCGTGGCCGTGAACTTTCCCCTTCCTAATTCTGACTTCAACTTTTCAGGCCACATCGTATGCTTAACTCTTTCGAGAAAATAGCTCAAAAGGGTGAGCTTGGCTGTCCCTCTGATTTTGACTTGACTATCAGCTTCATTCTAGGCTAGGCTTTTCTAAACGTTCTTGTTTCAGCTGTCAGATTCTATTTATTTTCATTGCAATCCATCTGCTTGGTTTGTCTTTAACAAAGGAAGATTGCTTATGGGTGCAGCTTGAGGTCCAACTAGCATGTAGTCTTCAAGTTCCCTTTCTTTCAAGTTCTATACTATCAAGAGCTTGCGAGATCCGACTACCTAATCTTTGTGGTCATATCATTTCACAAGTCGGCAGGGATTTTCTTCTTTTGGAATGCAGACGTCCCTGTAGCTCATTTTCTCTCGATTAGGTCGAGCAGATTGATTGTGGATGAATGGTATTTGTGGCGCCCCAACCCTCCAAGCATAGGGGAAATGACTCGACCTTCCTCCTATTCAAATGATGTGGCCAACTCACACATAATCGATATAAACATGTTCTCAAAATATATAGATATATGATAAAACTGCAAGCTGGTTAAAAGGACTTGATTGTAAAGTCTCCCAAAATGAACATATGCATCACATCGGATAAGCATAAAACTCAAAAGATCAAAATATACTGCTAATCTCCAATGAATTACAAAACTAGACTCGAGAAGTACATCCTATACCCAATTATCTCAAATTACTCCAAAAACTCGAACTCTATATAAATGCCCGCCAAACCTTCTCACCCTACTTGTTGGTACCTGTAGAACTTGGACAAGAATTGAGACAAATGGTATGAGTAAACCGCAGCTGATTGAGTATAAATCTCTTCTAAGCAGATTAAGCATCTACTATGTATATTTATAAACATTTCAAAGAAAGAACACCGATCCATGAACCAAGATATCATATACATTAAAGACCAAAGATGTTTTCATATGATTTCGCGTAAGTTCATACAATCAGTAACATCCAAATAAACACTAACTTAAACAACATTAATGATCTAGTCTACTGATCAATTTAGTGCTCAATGTCAAACAATTGCCATCTTGACACCTCATACAAGGCATATCAAGATGTCCCCTGACATATATCTCCACCTATAATCAGCTAGTGGCTTGATCCAAACAAGAATTCCGGAGAACAATGTACTTACTCACAACCCCTCAATGGTTCATATCATGGCGATAAGAGCATCAAACCATCAATCACCACATTCTCCAACGAGTCACAAAACTATATCATAATGAATTTCAACCAGATTGACAAATCAATACAAGTAGCCTTTCACAAGCCCTTTCACCTGTCGTGCCACGCTTTTTTTGGGACTTTCGGGATTTGCACACTAAGGAGGTATTTCCGTGCAAGGGTCTCTCCCAGACCATACCTCACGTGACAGCGGATGATAATTTCCTATTTAGTCTAAGTTCTCGATTTTGGAGTCGCCACTAGTCATTGTTGGTAGGTTGACTAGAAACCTAATCAGGGTATGGGAGAAATACTACGATTCTACAAACCAAAGATTATGAGTACGGGGACTTGGTTACGCTAATAATCCTAAATCGAGATCCTTAACGCCCTTTCGATACCTAAGAACGATACGATGTCTAACGTGTCACACAAGTTTCCGAGGTTTACCTATTAATCCTATCCATTCTAATTGCGGGAAAATCAATCAAGAATTAAATGGGCAATTAAGGTCAATCAAATCAATCAATCCTAAATTGTCTCTAAAAATCAAAATGCACTAAAAAACCATCCAAACCCTAATGAAGCCCTAAAGGCTTGTTCATTTCATGATTTGTGTCTTTTTAGGGTTTTAGGATTTTTTTAGGGGTCATAACCCTTGAATTTGAGATTTTCTAAAAATGCCACTTGGGCAATTCCAAAAATTCAAATTTCACTTTCCAAGGTTGGCCACAGTGTTTTTGGACCACTATGTGAGTTTTTGAATTTTTTTGATTTTTGGATTTTGATTTTTTTTTCGGAAATTAATTTCCGAGAATTTCATTAGCCGAGAATTGATTTTTATGATTTTTTGAAAATTTTTATGGATTTTCAAATTTTCAAATTTTTTTAGATTTTCTGAATTTTTTCACATTTTTTATTTGTGTTTTCTGAAGTTTCTGAATTTTTCTGAATTTTCTAAAAAAAATTTGAATTTTTATGAAATTTTCTAATTTTTTGAAATTTTTATGAATTTTCCGAAAATTTCTAATTTTTTTAGATTTTTCTGTTTTTTTATTTTTATTTTATTTTTTATTGAATTATTTTATTTTATTTTATTTTTAAATTTTCCCGCTGGGAAAAATGAACCGGACCGGCCTGGTTCAACCCGGTTCGGTTTGGCCGAACCGGGCCTCGCCGGTTGTCTTCTCCAGCGAGAAACAACGCCAAAACGGCATCGTTTCTGGCCTGTTTCTCTTCGGCATTTTGCCGAATACCTGGTGGGCATGAATTGCTCTATAAGGTTTTCGAGGCCGTGGCTTTGAGCCTTTCTCCGATGACCTTCCGGTGACATTTTAACCATTCAATTTGGTGTAATGTTGAGTCCACATCACCTTCTATCATTCTAACCTAGCTAGTTCGCCGCTAGACCACCGCCAGCGGGCGAAAACCGAACCTAAAAATGCTAACTCAGAACTAATCTATGCAACTTTTTTAACATTCACCCCTATTCTGATCGCCCTAGCCGTCTAAGTCGATCAAAATGACTATCAAATCATCAAACAAAGTCAAGGACGACTAACTTGAGCGGCCATTGGCCACGAGATGTACTCTGGCGAGGTTCCGGATGGCTCCGGCGAAGGCTTCCATGAACAACCGACTCGGTTTATGCATATTCAACCATTCAAAATGCAATCAAGCAATGAAAATATGATCAGAAACATGTTTTAGGCATAAAAGAACTTAGAATCATTAAAGAAAACACATGATTATCAATATCAAACTCAATTTGATTTTCTGGATTTCTAGAAAACTATTGCGAGGATCAGATTTTACCTGCTTCGACAGAGGATCAGATGGAGTTTCTGAGGCAATTGGCGACTGTGGAGTTCTTCCTCAACACTTGGACTCCAAGCTGGTGGTCTTAGCTTTGCCGGAGCACCTCTGGATCAATCGGCCGAGCTCGAGTTTCAAGCCTTCATATACAATGAACTCAATTGAACCCGGGGAGAGAGGTCACGGCCGAGCTCTGATTTGCCGGCGCTCTGCCGTCTAGGGCAGCGCCGAATGCTCAGAAGGGGACCTCTACCTTCTCCTTTTTCTCTCTTTTCCCTCTGTTCTTGCTCTAGTTCTCTCTCTCTCTCTCTCTCTATCTGGAATTTTGTCGAACAGTTCTCCCCCTCGAATAATGATTTTTTCTTCTCTTTGTAGCTCGATTTCCCGTCCAAAGTTTGTTATTCACCGACCTTGAATCGGTTGGATCGAATCTCCGATGCCAGCTGGAATTGGAGTTTATCACGTGTTAAATTGCTTGAATTAAGTCGGCAAAGTCCCAGGCCGGAGTAGATATTTTTCTAGGTTTATTGTGTCTTGGGCAAGTCAGGCGAAGGAGACCGACCCGGGTCGGGTCGAGTTGACCCGGTCGACCCGGCAGACCGGGTTGGTCTAAATTCGCAAATTAAGCTCGATTTTGACCAAATTTTCAAAATTAAACCCCAAAATTGAATTCCTCATCACATTTTAAACCCAAATATGTGATTTTCCCAATTTTTGTCATAATCATGTCCAATATTTTTAGCTTTTTATATTCGGGTTATTGGGGTTTTGTTCAATTCGATGTCCTAATGACCTGATTAGGCAAAATTGGTGCCAAAATTGAATTACCCACATCAAATTAATCCTAGAAACGATGGTCTCGTGATTCGACAATTTCGAATTGGGCACGATTCCCAATTTGGGTTCAAAATTCCTAATTTTCAATTGAGTTTTGAGGATTTTTTTATTTCTATGACAAATTGTGCAATTGGACTGATCATTATGTAATCCAAGGTCCCAGAATCATTTGTTGTGAAGACACTATGACTTAAAAATGACTAGAAAAGATCTAATTATATTTTTGGTTCAATTAGGGTTTGATTTTGCCCAATTTTGGGAAAAACACATGCCCGATTGAGATTTCCCAAAATTAATGATGCACTAATGAAATTGGATATAAAAGAAGACTAATGACTATTTTTATGGAATTTTCTGATTCCATTTGCTATTTTTCTTGATTTTCTCACTCATTTTGACTAAAAGAAATTAAAGAAAAATTCAGGAAAATGCTAAAAAAATCATTTTTGGTTTAAAAATAGGTTTCTAGGTTTGGCCAAGATTCCTAATCCTAATTTTGAGATTTTTGAAAATACGAAAAAAAACGAGCTAAAAATCAGGTGTCAACACCACCAAGCAGAATACATTTTGCATAGCATTTTTTGAACCATTTCACAAATAATTTTGACCAGTGCTTTACTATGCAATTTCATATAACCAAAAAGGTAGTAAATGCTTTATCCATCTTTATGCAACAAATATGTTCTAAACGCCACTTTTCCTTTTTAATAATCAATTTGCCATGCGACGACTCTTTCAGAGCTTACAACTTATTTAATTCCTATCATTTAGGTTTTCAAATAATAGAAGATATAAGCATCACTCACAGTGATGCTAATTGAAAGAACGAAAGATATTTCGGACGGAAAACTCAGAATTCTATCAATGAAGTTAGAAATGAATATCAAAATCCAGTACAAAGCAAACTTAATTAAGTCGTGACTAAACTAAACTTATTTGGTAACAAAAAGAAAACCCTGATATGCCTTCGAAAACTTTTTCCAAATGGACGAATGCTTGCTGTGTACTATATAGTCAATAGTTCACTGACCGAATTTTGGACGGTTCGATTAAACTCTACCCAAGTCCTTTTTCAAAATGGGTCCAGAGTCATTGGAAATCTAACTTGATGTACTTCAAAGGCGTAATGCGCCTCTGACCCAAAAGACAACCGGAGACGGGCAAAAACGACGCCACAGACAGAGATACTCTTCCAAAGGTACACGGTAAACTTCAAAATTTCGTCTTCATCACACTGTAACACAAATTGACTTCTCTAAAATTCCAGAGATCCACTCTAATGTCTACCAAGCAACTCAGAATTCAAAATAATCCTAAATTGCAACTTGACTAGGAAATTCCCTCTGATTAAAGAAATCAAGGCTTAGAATTCTTACCGAGGGCTTTGGAACGATGTTAATTGGGTGCGTCGAGATGTCTGTTGCTTGCATGAACCGAATCCTTTCCATT